CTAAAAGGTCACGTTGTTCGGAGCTGCCGTGCGGCCGCTCTTCATCAATCTTTATAGTGCTTGAAAATGGGTTCACAGGTAGACGTCGTTGCAACTGCTTCTGCAGCCATTTTATGGTATTCTTGAAAAAAAGAGGGGCTCTTGTGGCTTATCTCAAACAATACCTTGTTACACAGACCCTCCATTGCATAACTTTTGTAGCAAGTTGGTAAGCCTTCCTAGAGAGTGGCCTTCCTAGGTATGGTGTTATCATCTTCGGTCCGAGTGAAACTGGTACAAGAGCGGATCTGCTCAGTCGACTGACCCTTGCCGTTCTACTCACTATCTCAAGCTATTCAAGAACGAACTATGTGTATTTCGGCATCGCTACTAGGAACAATGTTCGCTACTCGGGGCTCCTGGCCATACAACTAGTAACAAGAAGCTACTAGGGGGCTCCTGGCATTGCTACTAGGAGCAAGGACGCTACTAGGGGCTCCTGGCAGCCCAAAATCGGGCAAACCGGGCCCCACTAGCCAAGAAAAGGACGGGCCCGGGCCCGGTTTTGGGCCTAGTTTCCAATTGCCAGGGAGTTTTGGATGGTACCCCATGTTGAGCCACAAGCACTTTTCCCTCAAGAAGAACACCCGGAAGATTGGATTCTTCACCTTGCACTTGAGTGATTTCAATGGAATCTATGAATCCCTAGGGCAACTGCTCTCGTAGTTGTCCAAAAACCATATGATATGATTTATATTGATTTATATATGTGTTTTCTTCAAAGTGTACTACTTCATCATCGGCTCTATATTGATAGACCTGGCCGCAGCAGCAGATCAAGAACAAGGATTCTATGGTTTCCTGATGGGAACTCTTGTGGTTTGACAGGGGGATTGTCATGTGAAGAGTGCTTGTTTCAAAGAGAAGTCCTCCAATTGAGGCCCAGGCTGGAGTTGCAAGGGAAGGCTACGCCGATGACGACGTGTCACTCCTTTCAGACCACAGCGTACATTGTACCATTTCACAGCAACGCATCACGACTGAAGACCGGGTTCGGAGCTGCCTGGACGGTGGTCCTGGCTCGTCCGAGCGACCCGAGCGGCGAAGTGCTGGGGCCGATCGCGTTTGGCCCATGGGTTCATGACGGAGCCGACGCCAGAGCCACCCGTGTGCTGCCTCTTCCAGGACCGGCCATGGGAGACTGGTTCAGGGAGTCCGCAAGTTCGTAAGTACAGAACCCCTCTCAGAACCTTGTGAAAAAAAACATTGTTTCTTGTTGTGGCCAATTGTGTATAAACAGGCATTGGGATGACAGTCGTTCTCCTCCTATTCATGAAATCTTGCACCACGAATATCAAACGAGGATCCGCCCGACGTCCTAAATGCTCAAGACTTTGTCAAAAAGCTTTCTGGCGTAGGTGTTTAGGATTGGATGGCAGCTACGTTCACAGTGAAATGCAGGTTAGTGAATCAGGCCCTTGCTGCTCTCTTGATTGTGACCTTATTCCCATGATGTTCCACTAGTGCAACCACCAAATCGAAGTCGCCCGGCCGTTCCAGTACATTGGCTTCTTGTAATGACACCAACTGGCTCGGTCCCCTTGTCTCACATCGCCTGCGGAGGTAGACGTTTGGAGACTTGGAGCTGTGGGGTACCTTTGGTTTCCTATACATGTATAGAGAGAGAGGGAGAGACAGAAGAACAACCAAAGCAAATTCTGATCGCATGGAGTTAAGCAGGTCCAGAAACATGCCTCGCCTCTTAGCGACGTCCCTTGTCTCTAGGCAAACTCTTCCTCTCCTTCTTTTTTGTGGCCGCAAAATAGACGGAAGAGTGAATCCCCAAAGATGGGTTGGACACCATGTGTTCTGACGCTTTCAATCCGCAACTTTCGACCGACTTCGGGGACCCCCCGTCCAACCGCGCACAGGATGGGTCGGTCTGGCGGGAAATCTTGGCCGCCTGGAGGGAGTCGTGCTGGTCCGTCCGGTGGTCTGGTCGGTGGTGCGTTGGAAGCACTCATACAAGGAAAAGGGGAGGTGAAACATGTTGGGCTTTGGGGATATATGACATTGTCCAATGAGTCTAGTGTCTGGCTGGTAACCAGGCTGGCTCTGTGGAAGATAGGTGAATAAGGTAGGGTAGCTGCCGGTGATTTGGCGGTACACATTGTGGCGCGGCACGTGGCTTTTCTATGCTTTGACTGAAAGTAAACCCTTGATACGCGCCTTTGCTTTTCTCGCCAGTGGAAAGGGCCCCACCAAATGCTAGGTCAATGAGCCAACTCCTCTTCAACTCCAGCTTGACTGTGCTAGACATTGAACAAAAGACACATAGAAATCCATGATCAAGGATCCCAAACTTAGACGTTTGTCATGTTTTCACTCTGTTGCACCCCCCAAAATCCATGCAACACCCGTAACTGATCAGCTTCAACTACCAGGTTCCAAAGAAAACACCCCGTTCTCCACTTCAAATACGGTCGTCCGCTCGGGTGGTCGGCTGGGGGGGGCTCGGTTCACTGCCGAATGTGGCCGAGGTTGTGTCCCAATTGGCTCCGAAGCGCTACTGCTGCCTGAACTCCGACTGGGTGCCGTGGGGAGGGGTGCCAACGGAGGAGTCTTTTCAGCGGAGCGGACCTTTTGCAAGATCCTTTTGGAACGGCATGATGAAACTGAAAAATGACGAGCAAGGCACTAAGCAATACTCACCCAGGTGCGAAGTTGCTTTTGTTAGATGCCCCCACTCACTCGAAAGCATCTCTGAATCCTGGTACACTATGTTGCCCAGCATAGTCGCATGAGGGCAAGTCCCTCAACCAAATGGAAGAAGCAAGAACCAACACTTGTTGGATCAACGCGATGAAGTTAAGCAACTCGCCTCTCCTACGAACGGAGCTCAATGAGCGTTTCAGTCTGATGAGGGACAACGTCCTTCCAAGAAGCATGGAGACACATATCAGTTTGTTGGAGGAAATGCGATCCATCCCTTCTTCTGGAAATCGAGCAGCGGAAAAAGGGAAGGTCGAACATCGACCCGAGAAAAAGGGTGATACCAGCCCAACGGATGAGTCAAGAGAAAAAGAGAGGAACCCTACCATCCAAAGGTGTTGTTCTTTTTCTTTTGAACACATGGACACCATGGGACACTCCCTAAAGCACCCACAACCAAAGTAGTTGACCTTGCACAGATACTTCGCTTTCTTTTCGTCTCACAGGCCGCCAGCGGCCGGGCCAAGCGCCCCGGAACGACCGTGCCAGGTGCTGTCGGACCTCGCCGGCGTGAGCATGTTGGAGGCCTTGCGCAGTGGTGCCTTGGCGGCCGAGTTGAAGGTTCCAAAGCGCGAATGGATCCCAAGATTCTCATGGAGAAATGGATGAGAATGGATGCGAACTGGAGGTTTCATGAGTTTCTGCCCATAAATACCATAACCAGGTGTTCTTCCCATGGTGTTGGATGTCTTGGTCTAGAAGTCATGTCTTGCTTGCTTGGATGTCTTGGAGCTTGCTGCGCAGCTGCAGGATTTTCATGGGAATGGGAGCCACCCTTCGAGGGAGAAATGGAGTGGCAAACTTTCACTTTTGGTGGAACAGCGCATGGATGACCGTTTGCACTAAAGGTTGAGATCTCCGAACACAACATCGAGCAGGATGGCGGCTGTGACACGCCGAAAGCCAAATCCTTCTCCGATGTTTTTCATTAAAGGAAAAACAACATTGTCTAGCCAGTTTGGGTTTAACTTTGTCTCTTTCGAGGTTTGAGTCCATTTTTCTCTCGCTTTTGGATTGGACATTTGTGGATGACCTTCATGCAAGGGACAGCCGTCATTGATTTAGTTTCGGAGTTACTGTGCTTCACGTACCTGTTTTCAGAGGGGAGACAAGGGGCTTGTGGTTGTTAGCGACTAAAGGCTGCACGTAAAATGGGAGAAATGGATTGGCCGAACAAAGATGCAATAACTACCAAACGCATCTTTCAGTTGGGATGGTTTAGGAGCTGTCAGACATATGCACCATTTAGGAGCGTCTCCATTGCATCCAACCTGGCCACGAGACTTATGTGGGAGATTCATGCCTTGCCATCTCAGGTGCGCCATGTTTCTTCGGGAGCCCCTACAAGCCGCGGTTCCATGATGAGGAGGTTTGTGGGGATTGAATGGGACGGACAGGAATTCGGCGGAGTGTGGGTGGGTTCCTGAAAGCTCTTATTTAAGAGTTCATTTGCGTTACTTATTACTTCCTGTCCTGTTCAAGACACCCACTTCAAGGTTCGACATTGATTTCTGTGAGATGTCACAAGTCGTCTCAGGGTTCAAAAGGAGGCTCCTTCGCTGCTTCAGTTAGAAGTTAGAAGCAAAAGAGTTCATTTGTTCACGGCTTGGCATGTGGCGCTTGGTTGAGAATGAGTATGTATAATGAGTCAATGTTCCTTCTTAACTTCGCAATCTGTACACGTCATGCGAAAGATCCGAAAGAACAACTCCTCTGAGTTCCTCACTCCTTCCATCACTGCCATTTCGACACCGAGATACACTGCCATTCACCGAGGCGCAGATGGGCGAGGCGAAATGCCATTGGCTGCGCTCCAGCAAGCCGGGACTGTGCCTTGCTCAGCCTGGGGACGGAACTCTTAGCACGCTCCTGCCCAGCGGTTTGAGGATTTTGAGGATCTGGAATCTGGATCCTCTCCGGATCCGAATTCGGTCGAAGGAAAGAGAAGGACGGTCGAAGAACTCCCTTTTCCTCTCCCACGTCTGATCGGAGAGGTGTTCGACCCACAAGCTTGCATTGTTTCTTAAACCTCCTATGATTTTGTGCGCATCATTTTCTTTGTGAATTCCTGTACAGTATTCCAACGGCTTTTTCTTCCTTGTTCTTCTTCCCCAACAGCGGAGCTTAGCAGCTCTTCACTGCATCATCATTTCTTTTACCTGTTCTGCCCTTGACCCTCAAACTCTTTTTCAAGGATGTTTTGACGTTCACCTCCAACTGGAAACCCCTGCTTCGGAACCTGCGCACCTGCTCCGAAACCTCCTCCGGAACCGGAAAAAACAGGTCCAGGACCTGCTCCGGAACCTGTTTCCAAAACTGGTCACGAACGATGGCTGAAGATCTGACCAAGCGCAGTCTCCCATCCAAATCCAAGGGTTGAGTGGTCAAACGCTTTCATTGGTTGTTGTTTTCTTCACTTTGAAGAACGCAATTTGTGTGCTTGTCTATATATGTTGGTTGGGTGTTTGACACGTAACAACCAATGGGCCGTCAAGTGAGGAATGGTCAGCATTGATCAAGTCATTATATATCTTTTGAAGTTGTTGTTCCATGTTGTTCCTATCTTCTTTTCGGTGCTGATTTTGCACTAGTGTCGTTTGCATCAGCACCTTCTTGTTTCATCATGTTTCACCATTCTCTTTGACGGCACTTGGGACTGCTACTTGATTTGCTGATCCTCGTCGTCCCTGACATTTGTCCGTTTCGCTATAATGGCGTGCCTGGAGTCCCCACACGTCAAGATGCAGGAGACGGCAGCCCCACTGGTCGCGTTGTCACGATCACATGCTGGCAGTCTCCGGAGCAGGGGCCCGGAGCAGGTCCCTGGTTCTTGCTTGTTGCAGCTTTGTCATGCTTGCACATATGTGGGCGCATGTACTGTGCAACCATGCTGTGATGCTCGCATGGCACCTCGAAAAGGCAGGATTGGTTGCCACTGCCCAACAACAGACTCATGCCCAGCTGCTGGGGATTCCCTTGGGGTCTCAATGTTTGAATGGTGCTATCGATGGGAGTCCCTCAGGCCACTGCCCAACTTGCATGGAGACCATCCAGGCAAGTTTCATCCCCATAGCTGCTTGGTGGAGCCAGCCGCGTCCAAGGGCAACGGAAGAGACCTGGAAAACCTTCAGCAGAGATGCTAGAAGAGGTGCAATTTTGAATATCATTTAGCCAGCAAAGGTGGGAAGGCAGATTTCATCGGTCAGGTCAGCCTTCGACAGCTTCACTTTGAGAGCATGGTACGGGCTTTTCGGTCTTCTGGTCTTGAGAATGGCTGGGCAGAATAATTCTGGATTGTGCTTTGTTTTGGTATTGGTGCAAGGAAATGGTAGATGCCAATGCCAATCCGATGTTTTTTTCCATTTGCTCTATTTGCAGAATGGATGGCGCGGACTCAGACCCCAAACATTGTTTTGTGGCTTTTTGGCCATGATCGGAACCTTTTGCAAGGGTATACAGTCGACAGTGGCTGACTCTGCAAATGAAATGGCACATGCATGCAGCATCGCTTTTCAAGAAAGCGCTCGAGGGTCGGGCGCCGCTCCAAGGCATGCTCAAGCCTGGCCCCGCCGCAGGCGGCGGCGACGAGGCGGCCACCACTCCGATCGACGGAGATCCTCGAGGGGTGGGGGGATCTCGCAGAGTCTAACCCGTCAAACTCTTGAGGAACAAGTGGTTGCGCATGAAAGGTATGTATATATAGATCTATTTGGTTATTTGGTATCCATATTTACTATATGTATATATATATATAATAGATGTTTCTGAAGCTCGGCTCCTTATCGATAGCCAAGTCAGGTCCCTCCATCCAAGTCCGAAGTCGGAAGGTTTCCAGCAAGACCCAATTTTTCGCTTGAGTTGACCATCCACTAAGTCACCAAGCTTGGTTAAACAACGCGTCATGTCTATATCTTGAGATACATATCTTGCATTACAATGAAACAACATGAAACAACTGGGATCTAATCGACCGTTTACCGAGATTTCGACTGGTCCCTTCAAAGATCATGCCAGCCATGCTGACGAACAGCAGCATATGGTCAGCCGGCCATGTCAGTCGCTCTATCGTGCTCTGCTATGTTGGGAGGCCATGGATCCTTTGCCACGTGGTGAGGGGCAAGGCGTGCTCAGCGAACAGATGATCCAGCAGCTGCAGAAGCACCTGAGCCGCTTGAAGGCCCCAGACCAGCTCGAGCCACCTGAGCCATGAGTATGGAAATACCAGAGTAGCACTAGGGTGGTAGCAGCTGTCTGTTTATGAGGGAATGCTGGATGTGTAAATGCAGCATATGCTTGGGCCATAGTAGAATTGTGGATTCTTACTTTCGCTGGACTGAAATGCTGCAATTTGCTTGTTCCCAGCATTTCCTCTGCAGGACCTCATCTTGGACCCTCATCAGTTCTTGCTGCAGGTGCAGTTCGGGGATGCTTGGGTCGTAGGTTCGGGGATGCTTGGCGCACCAATTCGGATCCATGTCACCCATCAATTTGGCAGCGAAGCCATGGGAGGGGTCCCCACGTTGCTTGGTGCCCGTGGAGACCGAAGCAGAAGCAGAAGCGAAGGCCAGTCCCGGGGCCCATGGAGAAGTCCTGCTGGTCTCGCAGGCCTTGGACACCTGGGAGAAGCTTCATCTCTTCCTAGTGCCGCTCGCAGGAAGTAGCGGCGCCACTGGTGATGTCCAAGTTGTGTTGAGTCCAACAAGCTAGAACCCTGAAGATGACCCCAAATGTGTGGTGCATGTAACAGTTTTCATATGCTTTCATACACAACCCAGCGCATGCACACTTTCAACCCACCGCCACACCATCTACTCCCTCCACGGTCTCGAGCCCTCGGGTCCGTTCTTCTTCGTCCCATCCGCTGAAGAAAGAGGGTCCGGTCGTGGCTCTTGGTTCTCTCAAAGCCATACCCTGCGGGCCCTGCCCCGTAAACTGAAAAGAACCGTTCCAGGTGTGACGAGAGGTGTTTTGGTGGAAGTGTGGACTGAGGCCCCTGATGCGTGGTGCGCAGCTGACCACTCCGCGGAAGCCCCAAACTCTGCACAATCCGCTCTTTCCCTTGAACCTCCAATGCGAGCAGGAGCGGCTTTTTTAGAGACACCATGTTGACGACAAACAGTAGAAAAAGATATACCTTGCCTGGCCTGGCCTTTCTTGTTGTTTCTCCTTTTCATTTTTCGTTCTTTTCCTGCGCGACAGGGTCCTCCGGCCTCGTATTTTCGGCCGAGAGTTGCCATTTCGACATGCGCGCAGGATGATGATCTGGAAGAGGTGAGGCGAACTTGCCAGACCAATTTGAAGTGCTGGAAGCTTCTTTTGGCTTCATCTTGTTACTAGGTAGTAGTAATGCACTTAGCTACTAGTAGCTTCTTGCTCCTAGTAGTGATGCACCTTGTTACTAGTAGCTTCTTGTCCACCCCAAGAACAGATGGGATCTTCACAAAGCTGCTGTGAGGAAAAGCGAGGAAAACTTAAACATCCCTTTCGAGGGGGGGTCCGCATTTCACGTCGGTGATGTTTTTTGGTGTCTCAAACACTTGAGGACTTGAGGAGGGACAAAATCATTCTTCCACAAACACACGGCACGAGAGGGATAGCCAAAGCTTCCGGTGCCTTGGTTGTTCTCAACTCCTGTCAGCTGCTACTTCATTGTGTCTTATGTTTCGCTAGGCCAGTGAACGAAGATCTGCATTTGATTGGGGATGGACATCGGATGGCCTCAGAAATTCTCCTCTAGCACCTTGTGAACCCCGTTTTGGACTCCTTTAGGCTCCTTTTTGGCCGATCTCTTTTGGTTCATCCTGCCTCTGCTTTGTGTCTGAGGATCCGACGGTGTTTTATTTATGCATCGCTGGTCCCTTCATCATCGATCCCACCGAGACTCGAGTCTATCCACCACTCCATACGTCCCGCCATCAGACCGAATTTTCCGAAGGCTTCCTCCGAGCGCAGCGAGGAGGAGGCGGAGGTGGGACTGGCTCGCGGCGTCACGAACGTGTGAAGAAGGCGTCACGAATCCAAAGGCGTCACGAACGATGAAGGACCTTCCAAAGAGCAGCTTCCACCGCATTGTTTCAATACGTGATGACGTGATGAAAACATGCATTAATTCATGAACTGGTTTGTAGAAACCATTTTGCCGGTGCACTCAAGACTCAAGCAGACTTGTGTGGCGGATGCAGTATGTAGTGAGAGAGAACCTTTCCCAACATGTGATCCAACACATTGTTGTTCTTCGTTTGTGTCAATTTTAAAGCGTGGGAGGATGTTTTGCACAACTCCCTTTACCGTCGGGTTTCCTGTGCGCAAGCACTCAGTTCCATCAGTTTCTGGATTTTGACACCTTAACAAATCAAGCCATTTTGCAATCTACGACTACTCTGTGAACATCCCCTCCCCACATATTTTTGAAAGATCTTAGTCTACACACCAAGACACACAGCAGCCGTAAAGATGTCCGGGAACCACCCAGAAGCAAAGCATTTTCCCAGGACAGCTGTGAGGAAGTTGAGGTTTGGAATATGGCACAAAACGAAGGGACAACAGCCCCATGGCCAGAAGAATGGACCAACACCTGCGAAGTTCTCTTGCCTCTCAAGTTTATCCAGCTTAGCAGTTATGCCCATATCCCCGGCTGCAATTGAAACTAGCAAAAGCATGCAAAAGCGCAGTCAAACAACTCTTTTGGGTAGTGTATCCGTCGCCATCAGCACCGAAGTCTGCAGCACCTTTCCTTCTCCTGGACAGCAACAACTGGACCTTTCACTCTCGCATGCGTACCGTACTGCTTCCCGTATCGCTGTACGGTTTTGCACGCTGGAAGGCGCAGACGTGTACCGCTCTTTTCCAGGCAGATGAGAGAGACTCCGATGAGATCGCCCTCAAGTCGAGACCGGCGAGTTCAATAGGTAGCCAAGTCATCATCTAGTTAAGACTTCAAGACGTCGCACCTTCGCACCGCTGGGTGATAAACTCAACCGCCATCGCCGCTTGGGTAACCTAACCAAACTGAGCTAACTACATGGCATCATCGCTGTGTGCTAGCGCTACCGCGTGGCTGTGCCGGATGTAGAGCGGAGCGTCCGCCACACGGCCCCGTTGGACCGGACCGACGAAACATCCACGAAGTGAGAGCAAGATGAGAGCAAAGACACTGCGCGAAGAAGCAAGCAAACAGACAGTGTGAGGCCAAAAGTCTTATTTTAACAGATTTTTAACTCGGTTTCATATTATTTATGGGTTTCACGGTTTCATGTTCTGGCCAAGTGCCACTGGAGGGAGCAGATTCTGGAACGGCCCTTTTTAGAGTCAGCATCGCCGGCAAGCGAGGGTATTGGAGAGGACATAGCCTTCACAAGCTTTTCCTTTGACCTCTGTTCATTGATCCTTTTCCCTCAATGCAGAAGCGGAGGCAGGGCGGGAACGCCGACTGGAGAGACAAAAGGCGGCCAAGGCGCAGAGAACTTGCAGGCAGGGATCCGGACGCCCAGGGATCGACGATGGTGTAACGAACCTGCAGGTGTCGCATATCCGACTGGAAGAATGAACCAGAAGAGGTTGGGCAGCCTCAGCAGGTACACCCCGAAACCCAAATCACAACTCCAAAATTATATAACCGACCGAACCATCAAAATCAAAGGGCAGCTGTTGTTCTACGCATGTCAAACGCACTGGTGGGACCCCCTACCCAAATTGTTGGTGATCAATGTTCCTAAACTTACAAGTGCTCTGCGGGGTCTACCTGTAAAAAGACGACCCATACCCTCTCCTGCCCGTCTCTACAGATCGTTGGTTTCGGTGTGGACATCACTGGTGTGAAGTTGCCATAGTGAGTTGAAAACCCCTAAGCAATCTGGTCAGCTGGGGGCATCAAGAATTCCTCTCAGGTCTAGACTACTATAGACCTTTTTCCCGAAAGCATTGCGAAGGGTTCTTCCGGAAAATCCCTTGAACACTGACACTTCGACACATTTTTACACCTACACACTGACACTTCCACACTTGCACTTGAACACTGACATTTCTACACTTACACTTGAACACTTACGCTTCCACACTTACACTTGAACATGAACATGAAGACTTACACTTCTATACGTATCCCAGTGTAAGTGGAAGAGTGAAAGCATCCAACGGCAAGTATATCCAAGTGCAATGCAAGTGTGAGTATGGAAAACTTGCACGAGAGATGTCCCAATGAAAAACATTTCGCCACTTTATAAATTCTCTCTTAAAGGCGGAGGGTGGGACGAACAGCGTCAACCGAAAATGCAACCCTCTGGGGAGATCGTGCCTGTCGAGTGCGCGAAATGCAGGCGAGAGTGCGATCTGTCCGGTGTGCGCGCAACCCTCTGCGGAGATCGTGCGTGTCGAGTGCGCGAAATGCAGGCGAGAGCGCGATTTGTGAAATTACCGCGCAACCCTCTGCGGAGATCGTGCGTGTTGAGTGCGCGAAATGCAGGCGAGAGTGCGATCTGTCCGGTGTGCGCGCGACCCTCTGCGGAGATCGTGCCTTTGTAGTACAGCTTTAGTACGCGGAGTATCTGGCGAGCTGGAAGATGAGAACTGGCGACTTTGTAGTACAACTTTAGTACGTGGATTATCTGGAAAGCTGGAAGATGAGAACTGGCAACTTTGTAGTACAACTTTAGTACGCGGAGTAGCTGGGGAGCTGGAAGATGAGAACTGGTGACTTGGTAGTGCAACTTTAGTACGCGGAGTATGTGGCAAGCTGGAAGATGAGAACTGGCGACTTTGTAGTGCAACTTTAGTACGCGGAGTATCTGGGGAGCTGGAAGATGAGAACTGGCGACTTGGTAGTACAACTTGAGTACGCGGAGTATCTGGGGAGCTGGAAGATGAGAACTGGCGACTTGGTAGTACCACCCTAGTACGCGGAGTATCTGGGGAGCTGGAAGATGAGAACTGGCGACTTGGTAGTACAACTCCAGTACGCGGAGGTGACCTGCGAGAGGTCAAGAACTTGCAGAAAAAAGGTGTTCCTGCGCTTCAGAAAGACATACAGAGAGAGACACATACACACACACAGACATAGATACACACACACACAGAGACCCACACACTGCCTCAACACACTCGACTTAACACTTCACACTGAACACTTAACACATAACTCACACTAACTTCACACGTGATGAAAAATGCTTTCGGGCCACTCGTCGTCTAGTTTGAACCTTTTTTTGTTGAGGGAGTTGTTGTTGTGGTTGTAGTTGACCTTTGCCTTCTTTTTACCTTTCCTTGTTTCTTCATCCTTTTTCCCTTTGAACGAGCCACTTTCCCTTACAACGCACCACATCTACTCTCCATGTCTTCAAAAGGCTCCCATGCTCGGTCTGAGCCTCGGTCGGAGCCCATGGTGGACGACTTTCGGAATCCCACTGGTTGTACGCCGCGCGGGAAAAACTGGAGAAGGGGAAGTCCCCTGCGAGCTGCTTGGTGGACTCCGGTGGACAGTGAGTAAAGATGGTGGGCCTAACATAGCTTAGCAGCGATGGCCAACAATTAGGACCGGTTCTGTGACTCCAAGTGAGTGGGTCTTGAGCTCAGCAGGCTGCTTATCGTCTTGGTAAATGAAGATCCATTCAAGAATCACCCTGTGCTGCAAATCCCAAGAGGGTCAACTGGGCACTTCTCATCGTATTGTTTGGTGGTGAGGGTTTCGAGGGGGTACCGATTCGTTCATGCTGGCCTGGCTGGTGCACGCTTGTGAATTTGGTTTGGCTCACGTCAAATTGCGTACCTATATAGTAGACTAGTCGCACTGTATATATAAACATAGGGACACCCTTGAGTATATATATATATGTATATGCTAACCCCCAAAATGTCTACCTGTTTGGTTTGCTAGCATTGTTTTTACCCTGTGTTGTCACCTGTGATTTGAATGCACCAATATAAGCAGAACGGCTGACCAATGCACACAGATAAGGACACATGTTTTCCAAGGTTGGGAAATTAGAGAACAAGGATACATTCCAATTCATATTGTTAGTAGTTTCTAATCCAATTGCAAATATAGTAATTAATAGATATAATTGATCATGTGAATTTCAAAACTATCAACTCAAATTGTTACATTGGACTTGCGATTCAATCTATGAATCTCATGGTGTACACGTATGAAGACCCCACAAGAAAACAAATCAATTAACATAATTAATTGTGTACATGACAATGAACAATATCATATATGAGCACTCCAATTCATACTGTCAGTCGCACCCAGTACAATTGCACGTATGCTAATTAATGAATACAACTGATTACTGTATATGAGTTGTTAGTTTGTTACTTTTTTTTAAACACGGTGACATTACATTTAAACAACTCAAAAGAAGAAGGTTCCTCAGGTTTCACTGACCTTCCACTACGACTGAATAGGGGAAGCCTGAAATTGCTGTGTTCGCTTGTGGGACACCATGGTGCCTCCGGCGTGCTGCACCTACGCACCGCCATCCAGAGGCCTCAAGGGTTCCAAGCCGGGAATCGAGTTTCGCAACCTTGCCGTCACTGTGTTCGGCTTGCAGACATAAGCGGACTGGCAACTTTGGCCCAAGCGTGACAAAAAGGAGCGCTTGCCTGCAGGGTGGTCTTGGATCGGGCTGGTTATCAGCCGTAGCTCTGGTGTGCATGTCATCTCAGTAGCACTTCTTCCTCTTCTCTTCTCTTTCAGTCCTTTTCCCTCCCACTCTCCCCTCAGAGAACAGAAGAGAAGAGAAGGGAGGAGGAGAGAAGAAGAGAAGAGTAGAGGTGCAATCTCACTACATAGTATTTTGATCTTTAAACTCACACATTGAGTCTTTTAAGCACTGACTGGCATATTGAGAGTACTTCTAGCAAATTCACATACTACGCTCCTGACAGGTACACGGTGCACAGAAAGTTTTCGGGGACAATAGTTTTTTAAGAAATTTTAAGACTTTCCTGGAGCCAGGAACCAAGAACCAAGATTGCACAGAAAGTTTTGGGGAAAACCTAGGTTCTGATGAGAAGGTTTTCTTGGAGCCAAGAACCACGATTATCCCCAAGACTTTATGTGCAATCTTGGTTCGTGGTTCTTGGTTCCAGCAAACTCTGAAAGATATCCGAAGTTTTAAGATTTCTGAGGACTGCTGAAAACATGTTCTTGTTTTGTTTTAAAGTGCAATCTTCAACCTGCACTGCACGAGGGGCTGCAAAGTCAAAAGTTGATGTAAAAATATATATAGTTCAAAACCTAATTACTCAATACAAACTTATGTATTTTAGGCTAAGGTATCAAAAACAAACATGAAGCAGTCTATATGTATGGCACCCGCTTTCACCTCAAATTTGCTCCCCAAAACAAACCAGAAACAATGTGCATAAAGCACCGCAAATACCAATCAAAATTAAAAGAGGTAGACATTTGGGGGGGTACCATATATATATATATATACATATTGCTGTATACATAGGGACACCTCTCAAGTGGGTACCTGGATGGAGACCTGTTGGTTAGGTCTGTTAGGTGTTTTGCCTGAAGGAGAAACACTACTCAGCAGGTCCTAGCCAAAACGTTTGAGTAGTGGATGGTCTGTCTATTCCGTCTGCGCTTCGCAACACCGTGCCGGGAACGAAGCTCCCAACAGGGACAAGCGAACGTGGGCTGAAGAGATGCGACAAGCGGCGCGACCGCGCAGGTGGAGAATGCTGCAAGGTTTCCAGCCATTTCGGCGAATCGGATGGGGGACACCGGGAAACCCCACGGCTTGCTGGAATGGATGGTGGATGGTCGGGGATTTGAGCTTTTGGGGCTATAGATATTGCTTTGCCTCAATGGGGTGCAACGGTCGGAGAAGCGCGGATTCGCTAACCGTAGGCGTGAGCGAGTATTCGCAGTGGATCGATGAAAATCGTTTAGGGCAGAGTCTCGAGTGCAAGTGAGAATCTAATGTTGATTGGAGCGACCACTGGGGCATGGTCGCCATGCTGAATGTTCGGGTTGAAGCCAGCTCACACACAAGGAACCGTTGACTAGACTCATGGGCTCATGACGAAACATCAAGATGAGATTCTTGTTCTGAAGGTGAATTCAACTAATTTGTAGTCTAGATTGAACGTCCGACAAGTGAACGGCCATCTTGGTTCGGCATGTTTTTGTGTGTCATCGATACTATCTTATCCTATTCCCGATACCCTATATAATTGGTGCTTACGCCCTGCACGGTGGATCATGATGACAAATAATATAGCTTGACAAGCTATCCGAAGAAATCCCAGGTTGCCGAGGAAAATGATACATTTTATCGCAAGCGCCTTTTCACACTTCCATTTGTTTCGGGCGTTGGATGCGTTGGGTGGTTTACTTATCTTTAGAGTTGATATTTTGGTCTATATATGTATGTGGTTTTACCCTCCGAGACTTGTTGCCCGGGCAGTTGTCCAAACCACAACTGGACACCGTTCGTTTTTTCGTATTGATTTTAGGCCTGGAATCTGTCAGAATCCCATGGAGTTCCAGAAGACCTCGGTTTCTAGTAGCTTCTTGTTCCTAGTAGTACGGCCAGGAGCCCCTAGTAGCGTCCTTGCTCCTAGTAGCGATGCCAGGAGCCCCTAGTAGCGTCCTTGCTCCTACCGGAAATGCCACACGAGCATTTCACAAGTACTGTGTTCTTTTTTCGTCGAACAGCAGGTCGAAAACCAGGTGGGCCACGCAGGTTTTGATTCACGTGGATGCACCCCGACACCCCGTTCAACTCTTGCTTTTAAATTTGTCAGTATGGTTTCTTATTTTTTCATGTATATATTATAGTTAATAGTTATGATATCCAAAGCCATTTGTGTTGTGGGGGGGTGACGTGTTCGGGCCGGCCTTGATTTTTAGGCCCAAACCCATGTGGCTATATAGCCTTTCAAAGAAGTCAGAAGGATGCTTTTGTTGCGTTGATGTTTGCAACTAAATCGCAGGTTCTTGTTGGTGCGTTTCACTTGGTCTGTCAACGGTATCTCTGATCCGTCTCTGACACCCACCTCCCGGCGGTCTGTCTCAGTCCCCTAGGCGTGCCATCGAGTGCAGCTGGCCAATTTTGGATCCAGGCACCAGGCGAAATTTGCGGGAAACCGTTCCGTTGGTTCTTTTTTTCCGGATCTTACAAGTCGGGCGTCTTCTGTTTGGCAGAAAACAACGGGGCAACACGTGTTCAATTTGTTGTTTTCTTACCGAAAGCCATTTGGATTTGGAGTTGGTAGCCTCACCCACGTGGGTTTGATGAACGACTTTAACTGAGAGCGGTGAAGGTTTTCAAAGAAGTGCAGAGCGTTCCGAAACACCGGCTCAATCGCTGCACAGACGAAGATTTGTTTTGGGGGGATCAAAGGACCTATAGGAGAAAGGGTGGCCATAAACCACTCTTACAGGAGCGAATGACCATTGATTCTTTGGAGACAGACCCATAGCTCAGCAGAAACAAGACCGCACCGGGACAGGAAAAGCCTGCTGTCCTTTGCGGTGGACAATCTCCGAGATGGCTTGCAACAAGTGGTCGAGGATACCTCTTTGCCACTCTCAGCTATTGACTATTGCCTTGAACTGGGTGCCCGACTCCCTGAAAAGAAATAAAACCGAGCAGGGATTAAAACCGATCATTTTCCAAGAGGCCCTTTCATTCTCAAAGGTAACAGATGCCCATTTGGTGGGTAGACCGAAGCTTCCCACTCGGACCGAAGGAAGGCCTGGCCTTCCAACGGGTTATATAACTTTTGGTGCTCGGGCATGCGAAGGTCTGGTGCGGCGTTGATCTGCTGTTTCTGATTTCTCACTGTGCTCCTCCCGAACAGGTTTATGGTTTATCAACCGGTTCATTTTTGTATCAGACCGTTCACTTCTGTAAGAAAGAACCTGCAAGAGAACTGCACGGCTGTCCATGTGGGAACATGGAGACCCTGCGACCTCCTTTGTGGTGCTTGTTTGAGAGATTCTGATAGTCAAAGCGTGCTGGTAGGCACAGCTAGGCAGTTTCTGAGTTCGGAGTGCTGAGACTGGCAAGCATGAATGGTATTCCAGCATCCACTTGTTCTGTTTCATCCCGCCAAAGCTGGATGTTGCAGCAGGGCAAGAATGTTGGTGGCCGCAAGAGAGCTTGTCAATCCAAGCTATTCTTTTTGGACTGTTGCTTGACCCTGCCCATAGCCCCCATTGAATCATATCCAATTATATGTATATATATATATATAGAGAGACCAATCCACTGTTTGATCCGGGGACCTGCAGCTTCCTTTGCGGGTGTACATCTCTTCAGTGTAGGGTTTGTAGAGTACATTGATGTTTGAACGAGAGCCATGGTCCATGGTTACAATCTTGGGAGCCCCTGGGATGTCCACAAGTTCTGTAGAACCGCAGGAGGCCATGATGGAGCGACAGGATCTGGAGGAGGTAGAGGAGTTGGGGAACCTTGGCTTGGAATTTGGATGCCATTAACAAACTCTGAATGGGGAAGGAATTCTTATGTGTTCTCAGCAAAATTGGTGCTGATGTAGATGTAAATAGCTTCGGTCTCCTTCCGCCAACGACACTACACAGTAGTACCACGGCAATATTGTAGGGCAGACCGACCTGTTCACATAGGCCCGACAATTGAATGGGCAGGCCCCTGATCGATCAATTGCGTTGGTGTTGCCCTACAGACTCAACATCTCCCAACTCACGGCTTTTCTCTGATATGGATCATGAACCATAATGAACCACTTCTTGATCAGTCTCAGAGATCTTGGTTCATCTTGGTTCCTCTTTCGTTGCCGAGCTCTGTTGAGAGATGCCCAACGCAGCGGCCTTGGTCATTGGTCCCTCCCAATCACCGGTGTCCGCTTCAGACCGGAAACCGGGAACCCCGCTGCGACCGGTCGTCCAAGGATGTCCAGCTTCTTGGCCGGGCAGTTGAGCCAGTTGCAGCTGGGCTCCTTGGATCCAAACGCGCCAAGCGTCCCCGGCGCCACGCATGCCGCGTCCGTGACTGCGTCGAGCCTCCGGTGTCTGCCGCTCCTGTGGTTCTTCGGGGGTTGGCGTGCGGAATGACTGCATGGGTCCCGCCGCGATGAACTGGCTGGGGAGGGGTCCTCTAAAAAGTGGATGGATGTCCTGCCCAAGTTTCTGGAGTCCACTTCAGCGAAGTGCCCAAACGAACAGCGAGGTGCCCGAGAACAAAGGCCAGAGATGGCTCAGAGATGGCCCATGATTGGAGACCTCGCAACCTAGATTTGAGAATTCTTATACACTCCATGGAACAATCATTCATGGAAGTGGAAAATGGCCGGTTGAATTACCATTTTCCTCTACCGACAGGTGATTTTCCACTTGATGATTTCAGGAAGTGTCAATTCCTGGCCCCTCCTGGCTACAACCTCCAAATCTCGGATTGGATTGTAACTTGATGTTCCTAATGGCACAGTGACATTGAATTACAGAGGCACCAGAAATCGATAGAAATCGGCATCGGCGTGATTCTTGGAACCGATCAGTCAAACAGTCTCACTCTTGGTGACTATGTTGATTGCAAAGGGCAAGACCCTGTGCAAAGTAAGAGAGATGTCTACAAAGGTTCATACCGCCAAGGCCTGTAGCGAGATTGTGCTATGGCTATGTCTTAAAATAGATCGTTCAATCATGCTCGGCAGAAAGGGCACAGATCCGCGAAGTGGCAGGCAGTTTTTGGAGGAAGCAAAACTGCAGAGAGATATCCTGGTCCTACACATGGAATTCACCGAGTTTGGGCCAGCAGGGAGGAAAGAAGATTGCTCCAAATCCCCATACTTGCAGTATAAAGGGACAGACTCACACCGAACCACCGATACTTCACACCGATGAATCTTCGTTGTCTCTAGTGACCAAGAAGCATGCAGGCCGGCGGCAAAGACATGTCTTTAACTACCAAAGGCAGGTGGACACTCACAAACTCGACCCGAAAATCCTCCACGGTTTGGGGACCCACGGCGCTTCGTTTCCTTTTTCCCATCTTCTTCCGTTTGTTTTTCCGGCCGAGCAGCCTGCGTTTTCGGGGCCTCGCGGCGTGAGCATCGGCGCTCGGTGAGGCCTGGCAACCCAGAGGCGATGGGTGGGCTGGAGCTGCGATGTCCCGAAGATGTGCCTTGGCGAAGTGGAGGATGCCATCGGTGTTGGACAGACCGGAAATGGAGGGTGCAATGGCTCCAAAAAGTGGCTGTGTAGAATGGTTTAGAGGAGTGCTCGGGTTCCTTTAGGGGGCTTTCGGAGTGCTGAGGCATTGACACTTGCACTGCAGATGTCTTCGAAAGAAGAGGAGGTTTTTGGTGTTCACAAGCGCAGAATCACTCCCAGTGCCTCTGTAAAAGTCCTGCAGGAAGATGATCCTGAGATGGACTTTTTCGTCCGAGACCTAGACAAAAATGCGCGCAGCAAGATACCGCGTAATAGCTGTGGGAGAGGCTGACCCTCCTGCGAAACCCGCCGTTGTGAATACTGTCGACGGCCTCTATGGGGTCCGATTCTCAATCGCTGAGGTTTCTGAGTTTTAGGTCTTCTTTCACCTTGTTCATGCACTCTTTGCTTGCCTCACTGCCTGCCCAAGGAGATGTTTGATCTGGATCCCGCAGCTGTGCATTCCTGAGTTCTGTGGCTAGTGCGTTGAAGGCCTGCTTATTTTCTTATTGCAATTGCCCCGTGCGTTTGCGAGGACAGCGCGGAGGAATCTGAGCCCGACTCTGACGGCGAGAGCGCAGCTTGCCCCTCATCGCGCTCGGACGCTGGACGGAGTGCAGTGCCAAAATTGGTTTAAAGAAATTGCGACGCGCTTATTGGCAGGCGCTTTCTGACTGCGAGCTGGAGTCGGAGTCGGATGACTTGCAGAGGACATTCAAACTCAGTCTTTCAGTTGCCATCCTAGCTTAATTCTTTCCTCGCCTGCAAACCGAAAACCCCAGCAACCATGCAGACCATCGTTTATTGCCCGCTTGTTGACGCACGGCAGGACTGATGCAGATTGAGCCGAAGATGCGCCGCAGAAAAAGCCACATGAGACCAAAACGTGGCAAACGTGTTTGGTGTTGGACATCGCCCATTATTTGTAACGTTCTACGCAGCTTCGGCTTGAGACTAGTGACTCGACCACATTGCACGCCGAAGGCACGCACCACACACACCCACACAATCTCACATACACATGCCCATACAGGCGCGCAATCACGCCCACACAGCAACCGCACCATCGCATGCAAACACACGTTTTTCGTTTCTAGTCTTTCTTTCGCCTTTCTCAACATGGCGGGTGTCCTAATGGCCATCAACACCGAGGCCACTATTTTGCACCCACGAATGAAAGTCAAAAGCTTAAAAACAAAATCGTCTTTAATTACTTTACTTCGAGTGACCCCACCATGACATTTCAATCATTTGTTTTGATGCCGTAGTGAGGAGCATGTTGCCATGGTCGTGAGTATTGTAGTTCTCGATTTTGCTTGTGGGTCCTCGGGTTGTGTGCTGTGGTTGTGTGTTGTGGTTGTGGTTGTGTGCTGTGTTGTGGTTGTGGTTGTGTTTGTGATTGTGTGTTCGTGGCTGTGTGTTTGTGATTGTGTGTTTGTGATTGTGTGTTTGCGGTTGTGTTTGTGGCTGTGTGTTTGTGGTGCTGGTAGTGGTTGTGATTGTGTGTTTGTAGTTGTGGTTGTGGTTGTGTCTTTGTGATTGTGTGTTTGTAGCTGTGGTTGTAGTTGTGGTTGTGTCTTTGTGATTGTGTGTCTGTGGTTGTGTGTTTGTTGTTGTGTTTGTGGTTGTGTGTTTGTGGTTGTGTGTTTGAAGTTGTGTTTTGGTTGTGTGTTTGTGGTTGTGCGTTTGTGGTTGTGCGTTTGTGGTTGTGTTTTTGGTTGTGTGTTTGTGTTTGTGGTTGTGGCTGTGTGTTGGTGGTTGTGTTTGTGGTTGTGTGTTTGTTGTTGTTGTTTGTTTGTTTGTTTGTTTGTTTGTTTGTTTGTTTGTTTGTTTGTTGTTGTTTGTTTGTTTGTTTGTTTGTTGGTTGGTTGGTTGGTTTGTTTGTTTGTTTGTTTGTTTGTTTGTTTGTTTGTTTGTTGTTGTGTGTTTGTGGTTGTGTGTTTGTGGTTCTGTTTGTGGTTATGTGTTTGTGATTGTGGGTGTGGTTGTGTGCTGTGGTTGAGGTCCGGCAGGGAACACATTTGGCCTGGAGCTCGCAGTTGGGGTCCGGCAGGGAACACTGGGCGTGGATGGTCGTGGTTGAGGTCCGGCAGGGAACACTGGGCGTGGATGGTCGTGGTTGAGGTCCGGCAGGCAAGACTAGGCGTGGATGGTCGTGGTTGAGGTCCGGCAGGGAACATTGGACGTGGATGGTCGTGGTTGAGGTCCGGCGGAGGAGGACGAGGGGGAGGAGGAGAGGGAGAAGGAGGAGGCGGAGGAGGAGGAGATGGGGCCGACATAAAATCTAACAATCCTCACCTGACAGGTGGGGAACCATGTTGACTGCGCCGCTTTTATGGGTTCGTTCTTTGCGGCCGTCGTCGAATTCTTAAAACTGATCTGTTCCAGTGGCAAATGTTCACAGGCGTCTTCTTGGTTGCCCACCCTGCGCCAACCTGAGCATGGCGTGGGCCTCATATATAGGTTCGAACTCTGGCTTTCGTCGCTCTAGGTTTGGTGCTTGACCACGTGGTGGGAGCGTCAAGCAGCCGCTCTCGACGAGGAGGCGCGGGTGAAATGAGTGTTCCCCATGGCATAAATGAATGTTCCCCATGGCATCCTTTTAAATTGTTGGTTGATCAGGTGCTCACATTCGATGTGGCACAGGCGCCCCAGAAGGCTGTTCTGAACGAGGGCAGGCTGTTTCATTTTTGCGCGCGTCTTCGTTGGCGGCGTGTTTTCTAAATTGAATGTCATGACTGTTCGACTGTTCGATTCTGCAATCGTGCAGGCGAAGCCATTTGAAGATGCTTCGCAAGACTCGGCCTCAGATTACACGAGGGTGTGTTATACCCACAACAGCACTTTTAGCAACCACAACAACAATCGCTTGTCCCTGACAGGGCAACACCCTACCCCCCGACAGGGCAACTCCGACAACATCCCACCAGCTCCAGCAAAAGCTCCGCGGCAGCTGCGTCAAGAAAAAGGCTTGAGAAAGAGGCCGGGATGGGGAGTCGCTGTTTTGGTGCCTAAATTGACTGGATTGCAACCTATTCTAGGCAAGCGCTTTCATTTTACGGCTTTTTGAGGGTGTAGGCACTGTTTTAGGGCTGTTTGCCTGTATTACGAGGTACAACAACGCATCCGTTTTGAAAGTCAGCGTTTTGAGATGTGTATCTTTGTCCCATAAACAAGCACCGCCATAAGGGCCTTAAAGCTTTTGAGGAGATTTCGCCTCAGGCTGAGAAGAATCATTGTCCAATGTTTGTGAGGGAGGGAGAGGCGCCAGCCGCAGCAGAATCTTCAGGGGCCAATGAAACCTATCGCTTCGATTATTCAGAGCAGACGCAAAAGTACCAGGTTGATCAGGGCAGGCAACTAGAGAAGCACCTGAGCGGTATTTCTTGGAATGGTGGTGCGACGCGTCCAGCGCTTGACACTGCAGCTTTTCTGACAGGGACATGGGCTTACGCGTTCGTTTGTAGTAGCCCTTGATTTTGTAGTGCGCCATATATCCATAGGTCATTTTTTAGTACTGTGTTTTTGCATGGTACCTTGCATTTTGTAGCAAATGAGGTTGTGCAAACAGTTCTGTACTACAAAATGTATTGTCCAAGGTCACCTGTCAAATTGCAAAGAAGATATTTAGGTTGTAACGTAATTTTTAGGTTGTAACGTAAAATAATTTACACAACTTAAACAACGTATGTTTCACAGTTTTTTCTTAGTAAATTGAAAACATACGTAAATTCTTCGATTAGTCTCAGGGTACAGACGTCTCTTTTCTTTTGGGCCGTGAGTAAATGAACGGCTTGTGAATAATGTTTTCTCGTCACAACGATGAACATGAGTCGGATTTTGTTGTCATGAATTTGGGCCAACCCTCCGTCTGGAGGACATCGAGAAGCAACCAATTGCTATACAGTAGAGTGGGACACTGGTGAACTTCAACGTGCAGTACGGAAACACACCCTGAAAACTCACCTAGAGACATGAAAGACAACTGTCCTTCACAATCCAAAGAATCCAATGTTTTTGAGATGTATTGGACTTCTATGTGGGTGTGTATTTACATTCAGTAAGGGTCTGAGACCCCCATGGCCCTGGCTGGGTAGACTGGTCAGGAGTTGAACTGGGAGGTCTTCCCACTTTCATACACACCCATGTAGATTGATTGAAAAAACACCCCATATGATATGATCATATGTGGAGGACCATGAAGTACCCGCTGGTTTTTGAGATGCGCACCTTCAAACTGTTTGGTTCATCTAGTCCACCCCCAAGTGCTTCCTGCCAAAGCGTCCATTCCTGAACACCAAGGATCCTGAATGCCACTGGGAATGATTCGCAGCCGGGTCAGGGCTCGGGGAGGGAGAGTTTCTTTTCCTTTTCAGCCTTCCGAGGACCTTCGTTTAATGGATGGAATTGTGGGACACCAAAGAGTGTGTTTTGTGTAGGGAAGTTGATTCAGCTGATTTCAGCTGAAAGGGATCACCAGGGGGGGTTGATTCAGCAGATTTTTTGCTGCAAGGGACCACAACTGTGAAACCGGCAGTTGTCCCTGGAACATGGAAACTTTGGTGCTGCCTGACATCGACACATGGCTATAGTGACTGATGTGTAAGTGCTCTGATGTTGAGTGACGAAAGAACTCGATGCGTAAGAGCGTTGCGGTTCCAGGTAGTGGATGGCTTAAATTTGCAGACCCTCAACAGCATTGTCTATGGACAGTTTGTCCAATCTCTTTTTACTTACTGTAGGTTCCCTACTCCAGCTGGATTTGTCCCAGTTGAAACCAGATGGAACGTAACATAATGTAACAACAATCACTTTTTCCGCATTGCAGGCGTTCTTTGTGACCTGTCATTCTTCACCCTCCAAGAGGAAGTTGAAGGTTGAGCCACGGAAGGGTCCAACATGTGCTGTTGTGCACAGCATAGTCCGAAGGGGGTGTTTTTATTGCAACCACGTGCTGGACTCTGGAAGTCCCAATTTTTTACATCTTGGTATGGGATGGTATGGGTATGACATGTTCTACAGGCTTTAGTCATCTTTTCAAGCTTGGGATGCTACCGATCATTGACTTCACTCGCTGGTTTCTGAAGACCCCCATGTTCGACCTCCGAACGCGCCGTGGGACCGGACCCGTCGCGACGAGGACTTCGAGAGCCAGGTGGGCCTTTCCAGGACATCGGGAACCGTCACGTTCGGGGCCGGGGTGCTCACCACGGGGCCCAGGAATGGGAAATGGATCAAGGTAGAGTCAGGAAAGAGTTGGATTTGAGCGGACAGCCAAATACGTCTGGGAGAGTCCTATGGCCCTATGTATTTGTGCACCTGCACTTAAAACTGCAAGACTCAGTATGTGTTTTCTATCAAACAACCCTGGCACATTCTATGGATATACGAGGAACGACCAAACCTCTCCAAACATGGTGCTCTAGCTGGCACACCGAAAAGCGCCCGGCCTGCCCTGATCTTTTCTGCCTGCATCGTGGTGACGTTTTTGACGTTTTCCAAAGCCGCACCTCCCCAACAAGCGACCCTCTCCCCCCGGAAAGTCTCTGCGTCACGGTTTTCAGACCCTTGTCATCGCGGAGAAGCTCCGTGCACCCACGCCGTCCGCGTCTGCTCAGGAGGTCCAAGACGCACCGGTACTTCGGCAAGATTGTGTGCCAAACCATGCAGGAGAGACCGATGCGTTGAGAGGCAACATGGTCGGTGTCATCGATGCTTTGCCTGGTTTCAGATGGTTGCCGACACAGGGGAAGACATCGACACATCTGAGGCTTGCAAAAGTGTGATCTGAGGTTTTGTTGCGGGCTTGAGAGGTTTTTGTTTGATATATATATATATATAGTATCTGTATTATATACGTTTGGTGTTTTCATTGTTGGGCTACAAGAATATGTAAAGAATATGTACAGGAAAGAAAGCTTTCCCACTTAGATGCATTATTTTCTTGTTGATTTTCCCATGCCCGGAACCATTAGTAATTAGTAAGGAGTTGCAAGGACCCAAACGAAACCTACTACACCGCAAGCGGGTTCACTGCCGAACAACATTCTGTAGGGTGAAGGGGAATGACACCATCCTGGCAACAATTTATCAGTACTGGTATTGGTATCAAATGCAGGCTAGCTGCTACAAACATGGATTCAGAAACTATTGGTATGAGTATTTCACCAGAACCAACAACACCACCGACAAAAACACCACTACAAAGAAGACTAGTACGACTGCAACTGTCACAGCTGCTGTTTGGCTTCCCCCATGTCCTGCATCTTTCGTTGGTGGACGCCAGAAATAGGTTGTAGGTAGCTGTTAATCCTCAACGTCGGCAACATATGTTTATCATTGTTTATCCATGCTCCAAGACGCTTTTTGCACACCTGGAGGTTTAAATGCTTCGGGAGTTCGACTTTCTGGAAGAAGAGTGAAGAAGGAACATCAATCCAAAACCCATGGGTTTCGCGTCTCCCTATTCATCCCTATTTTAACACATCAGGTACACAACCATTTTTCAGTTCAGGACCGATCCGCAAGGACTCTTTTTGGCTCAGTGGAGCGAAAGATGATCGCTTTCGCACCAGGAGTCTGGCTGTCCCGTGATGAAGCCCCTCCTTTTCGAGAGCGAACGGCTTCACCTCTGGACCAAGGCACGTCTTTGGTTTCGGACCAGCGCGGCTTTTCGAGGTCTCCGTGGGTGCGTGATTATATAGATTTTTGGGAGACTCCCAGGTCGGCCAAAGACCTCAATATGACCAAAGACAAGTTTGGATCAGGTCGGCCGCGGTCTGCCTATTCTAGTACACCATTTTGCATTTATGTGCTGGTGGAGTGAGGCCCTCATGAACGATATCACATCGAACCGTCGATCCCACTAATGTTCTTCTACCAAAGAACCATGCAGTTGCGGAACTCATATTTTTTTAAAGTTTTTTTTCTTTTTCGCGTCCTTTTTGGGAATTATTTTCACCGTTAGTGGTTTGATAGCTTTCTGTTAGCTGTGGCTTTTGGTGGCTCTGGGCTTTTGGCGGCTGTTGATTTTTGTTGGCTTTTGGCTTTTGGCAGCTTTTGGCTTTTGGTGGCGTTTGGCTTTTGGCGGCTTTTGGCTTTTGGTGGCTTTTGGCGGCTTCTGGCTTTTGGCGGGTGTTGGCTTTTGGTGGCTTTTGGCTTTTGGCGGCTTTTGGCGGCTTTTGGCTTGTGGTGGCTTTTGGCTTTTGGCGGCTTCTGGCGTTTGGCGGGTGTTGGCTTTTGGTGGCTTTTGGAGCATGTCTCGGATTCTTCTTTTGATCATCTTTCCAACCATCTTGCTATGTTGCCAGGGCATGACCGCTGCCGTAGGCATCTAGATCAACAAACAGATATATAAAGAGCATCAAAAAATATAAAAGGATCAAAACAAGGTAATAAAGGATCAACAAAAACTTCATTGATAGGCGTCTTCTGCTGCTCTCCTGGCCCTGTGGTCTGCGGGTCCTCTGGTCCTTTAGTCCGCTGGTCCACTGGTCCCCTGGTCCTTTGGTCCTGGTCTGGTCCCGTGACGGTCCCGTGGTCTCCTGGTCCTTCGCACTCCTGGTCCTTTGCACTATGGTTTTCTCCTTGTTCTTTCACTGATGCTTTTTGATGCCTTTGGTCGTTTCTCTTGTAGCTTATTGGCCGCAGTCTTCCTGCAAACGTACAATGCTTTTGGCTTCTGTTGCCTTAGGTCCTTTTGTGCACTTTTAGATGCCCTTCACTGAGGGGGCGATAGGGTACATAGTTTCTAGTGATTTCTTTTGTGGTGCTGTGTTTTAACGTTTGGTTCGCTTTGGGGGGGAGGCGCTGCGCCCTCCCCCCCAACCCCCCCTCCAGCACTACCATGAAATCTGCACTCTTGCACTGCGCCTGCCACGAAAACTAACTATGTAAAGGGTCGCCCATCGCACTTGCAGATCACATATTGCACGTCGTCTAAGTCTCTCTGGGAACTTTGGGGAACTTGTTGCACATATCCTTTCATTGTCTGCTCCTGATCTTGAAGCAGGTGTGAAGAGCTTCCTTTTTGTCAACGTAGATCGCTTCCACGCAGGGCACTTGCGGAACCAAACCGAGCCATCTAACTTTTATACTTTTGAAGGCTTTCAATTCAGTGTCTTTGCTGCCTGTTCCTGATTGGCCATATGTTTGGGGGGGTGCTGGAGACTTGCGCATGCCATTGTTTGGCACATTTTTGGAGTGTTGGCGTGTTAGTCCTTGTCTTTGGTCCTTTGAGGTGGCTGCTGCTGTCCCCTCCATTCTTCTATGCTCTAAACACTGTGGCGATGCCAAATAGGTGAATGATAGGGCCGACCTTAGCTTCCAACACCTCTGCGCAGTGAATGCTATAACAAGGCTGCAAGTAGTTATAGTTTCCATACTATAAAAGCTGTGACAAAGCCACAGAGGTGGTTGATCTACCGCGCCCCTCAGCAATGTCCAGCCTGTCTATCCTTTCGTTCTTTTGTGTCTGCCTGGTCCGATGTGTTTCTGTTGAAGGCTTTTGAGCCGATGCTCAACCCCAACCATCCTCAGTGGGCTAGAATATTTTTCGAATCCCTTTTTAGGTCTTTTTGATCCCCGTTGAATATTTTTTTGATTCCCTTTTGTTTTTTTTGATCCCCTACCCGCTGCCGATAGGATAGCTGCGCTTCGAACCACCTATCCAAAGTTGCTCCAGCTGTGATCCTCGCATTGCTTCATTTTTTCACGCGTGAGCTCTGAAGTGTAATCTGCACTTTGAGGTTCAAAAAAGTGCTGCGCCTGCCACAACAAGGTTTCCAGGTTCACAAAGTGCTGCACCTGCCACCTGCCACAAAAGGTGCACTTCCAGTTCACAAAGTGCTGGACCTGCCACGAGGTCTGCGCTTGAAGGTTCACGATGTGATGTGCCTGCCACGAAATCTGCACTTCGAGGTTCGCGAAGCGCCGCGCCTGCCACGAAATCTGCACTTCGAGGTTCACGAAATGCTCCGCCTGCCACAAAATGAGCAACTGAAGATACTCAAAATGCTATGCCTGCCACGGAACCACTATGTGAAAGCGCTACCAAAAAAAAACCCAAAAAGAGCGCACAACAAATTCCTTAAAAGCATCGCCAGCCTCCAGTTGCCATGGCCGTGGGGGGATTCAGTGTTGCACTAACATTCACGTCCAGGTTACCCTCAAGCAGGCTGACTGGGAGTTTCCTCAGAGATACGTTCAAAGGTCTGCACCGTATGGCGAGGCGTCCATCAACGCGCCATGGCACTGGCGAGGGAACACCGCTGGAGCCGGCTGAGCGGCCACCCGTGTTGTCTAGACCCCACCCAACTGTGCTTGGAAGCTTGTGTTCAGGTGAGCCATGTGAATGTTGATACTTGTCAATTCCAACACTTCTCCAGAGTTTCTCCTACTTACAGATCTCGTTTGGACTTTTCGACCATGTCAAGCCACGCCAATTACCTGCGTCACCGGCTTGATCCCACCCGAAGCGGCACCGGGGTGCCAGGCAGTGACGAAGATGTGGAAGATCTGGCACCGCAGCTGGCCGTGGTCCCCGTCCCCGATGTCCGCCGTTCTTCCGCGGGCGCCCGTGGAAGATCTGGGGATCTGGGGTCAACTGTGGCCTGGTGGCATGACGGTCTGGGCAGGTTGGGGATCTCAGGATTAGCACTGTGAGAATTGATCAAACATGAATCTTCCTCAGATGCCAATACCTCTCTGTTTTGAGGTGTGTTACAGATGGTCAATGTTGCCAGCTTTCTTTTGTCAACTCGAATTCTCATCTCAGCTTTATCACCGCCCAAGAAAACCAGGCATACCAACTGAACACAGCTCCAACAAAAGGAGCCTAGATTGCAACAGATGGCATGCTGCCTTTCCGATCTTAGTGTTTGTACCAGCACCACAGTTCCCTCCATTCCCTCCGCTCTCCGTCTTGGGGTTGGGTGACCCAGGCCGAAGGCAGCGCAGCACGTGACGCTCAGCTTTCTGCTGGATTGGCCCACCTTCAACCAGCTCCTGGACACGAAACCCCCTGGACACGAGGTTTCGCCGTAGCGACCCGGTGTGGTCCGACTGAACCACCGTTTTCAGCGACCCTCGCGGCCATCGCGTCGTGACACCCGGTCCCGCGGCCGATCGCGCTGGCCGACTGCGGCTCTGAGGCTCACGGCGACCTGCAGCCGGCTGCGCACGCTCTGTCACGAGCCGCCCAGCTGGGAAGGTGCTCTGGACGACACCTGCCGTTGAACACGCGACCCGCGACTGGCACGCGTGACATACGTGCAGGATCGGCTTGTTTGTGGTTTGACAGCAGCCATGCTGGCAACGATTTGGGTTTGAACGGATTCCTCTTCATTGTGAATTGAGTTCCTATTTCTCTTGGAAGAAAGCCGCTTGCTGATGTAGATCTGGCAACGGACAAGCTTTTTGGAGTTGCTCACGAGCTGAAAGAATCAGCTTTGCAGCGCTCACGTGGTGCAAACATGTCTGTTGGACTGCAGAAACTGGTAGAGGTGGGTTGACCCAAAAAACAATCAGGGTCCAGTCAAAAGCGAACTGGTTGAACCCACGTCATATGGCACTTTTGATCCTGTCTTCAGGAGCTACCCATGCGAAGGGTGAACTTCATGCTTCCATCCTGTGCTGGCTATGCTTTAACCTTGGTGCCAACATGACACGTTGGACTCATTGCTGCCATCAACAGACTTGGGAAGTCCTTGGGGGCACAATGCGCAATGCTGATTCATCGATCCAAGTGGAAGAGGGCGGAGGAACTGGACCAAAGGCTTGTCGTTTCAGAACGACGGCACATCAGTCACATGAAGTGGTAGACCATCCTAGAAGAACACCGAACACCCTTTGATCAACCACTGGACCATCAGGGTGATGAAACTATCACGTCAGACTCCGAATCTCCTGAAGGTCTCCAGCTCAAGGCCCAGGAGTTGGACTCTCATGCCTGCGGCTTGTTGGATGACACTGGAAGGCAGCATGGGTAAGGCATGTTTGTGCAAGGGGGTTGAGAGGCAGAAGGAACATCTCCTTCAACCAGTTGGAGTTTCCAAGGTCACTTCACCTGTACCATCCTGGACTGTCCGACAGCCCATGGTTGAGTGACCAAGTTTTTGGCTTTTCGAGCGACAACATCTGCTGTAGACAGGTCTTCAGTGGGGAGCCCAATGAGTCCTTTGTCAGTCTATGTTCGGTTCCAAAGGGCGGTGTCCTGCTAGAAACGCCCCAAAGAGGGAACTCCCAGAGATAGGACATCCATCTTATGTTGTTTCACAAACTCAGAGGCCTAGGCACCAAATCCAGCTTATTTACACCCCCTGCAACAAACATGGAAGTGGACACTGAAGTGGACAACCTCCTGTGTCTAGAGGAGAAGGTCTTTCCAGCCATCGTCCACGCCCATGATTGTTGGAGAGAGGGTATACACCATAGCATATAGATGTCATAGGCATCTATGACCTGAAGCCCCAAGGTATCCTAGGGTTCCAGCCGGAAGCACCACCTGTGTTAACTGGTTGTCATGTCCACGGGTTGTTGGTCTCAGGAGGTGAGGCCCTGGATCCAACGAGCCAGGTGACGACCGGACGACAGGTCGATTCGCCTTCCATGGGTCGCTCACATGGTCGTCCAGGTCGCTCACATGGTAGGTGGAACTACCACGTGGAACTATCCACGTAGGTGAGAGAAGTTAGAAGCCGGACCTCTAATTGAACAGCCCATTCGTGTTTTAAATAGGGAAACCAACCACCCCAAGACCGTTTTGAGGTGAAGAAGGAACATGAACCGTGAACGGTCCATTGAATCGAACATGACGTCGTAAGGGCTGAAATGAAGCCTGGCCTTTTTGGATCCTGGCATGGGATGAGACGGCGGGGATGGGGCCGATGATGTTTTCCTGAGTTGTAACCCCTTTCAACAATGGGTGGCCTGCAACTTGAAGAAATGGATGGAACTTGTAATTTGAGACCCGACCTTTCTTCTTCCTGTGCTTCGCTCAAGAACTTGTGATTCAAGAACCTCTTCAAAAGACACGATGGAAAAGATGGTCAAGACATCCTTGCCAGGCACTCATTTTCGCATTCTTGCCACTGCCAACATGTCCTCTCTGATCGCTCCAACGTTTTGTGAGGCAAGTGCTTGACCGAGAGCCTCACATGAACCACTGGACCGTGCGCCCGGCTACTTTTGCCAAACGTTACTCCAACATATTCCAACCCATGAAACCGAGGGTTCATCCCAGACGTGCATTCGCTTGCGGGCTCATCTCATCGGTTGCGGTGAGCAGAGCTGGGCCATCAATATCACCCTTTCAAAGAGGTTGAACCGCTGGAGGACCAGTTGTCAGTTAAGTTATACCAGTTATCAATAGTTATCACTTGTATTGTCTGACTGAGGATCTTAGCACACATAGTCATCCATGTTCACCCACTGGTTTAAATGATCCCCTTCTTTGAATCTCCGCATTGGAGTTCCGCTATCATCACTTTTTGGGGCACCCCTTCGCAGTCACCGAAGCTGCTGAAGCTCTGCGGAAGCACTTTTTGTGCGCAAAGCCCTGAATGTTGGAGGGAGTGTATACTCATACAACATCAATGTCAATGTGAAGCTTTGCATGTGCACCCTAGGTAAACATTGCTCACCAATCCAGACAGTGAGAGATGGCTTCTCTCAGATGTCCCGTTTTCCAATGGCTCAGCCGTTCATGTCCAACACGGGTGTGTCTCACCCAACCGACGTGTCGCTCTCACCGGAGCTCTGTCTCACCGGGTGAGGTACGTTTCTGCCGCTTGGGCATGGCCTTGGGACACTCCGAACGGCCCATCCTGGTGTGCTCGGGGAGTGCTCAGTTTGAGAGGCGAGAGCGCGTGCGCTCGGGGGGGGAAGGCGAGAGCTGCACGGAATGGACGGCTCGCTGAACAAGGAGACACGGAAGAAAGAGATTTGAGTGATTTGAGAAAAGAGGAGTGAGGAGAGAGGAGAGAAACAATGGAGAGGGAAATGAGGGACAACCCAACGGCATGACAAAAGAGAGGGAGCAGAGCAAAAGAGAAGGGCAACACAACACAAGGAGTCGAGAGATACAAAGAAGCCAAGCCATCATCAAAAGCAGCCTAGGTCAGACTAATGACGCCCGCGAATGCAGAGGAACTGAACGCAACCAAACAAGCAAGCAATATGTGGCCGTGCGACCTGCCAAAATGTGGCTGCCAACACACTCGAAAGGGATTGTGGAAAGATGTGCACTCCTCCCTGGTGTTGGCAGATGCGAGAATCACCTCGCGCAGGGCTCAACACGTCAAGAAAGTGTGGGCGGCTCAACAAGCTGGGACACAGGACATTGAAGGCACGCTTTGCGAACCATGCGCAGAAGACAAGGAACTTGCAGGAGAAGAGAATGTAGATCGGAAGCAGTACCAACAATTTGCCATACAAGAGCAAGCAAAAGACAATAGCGAAAGAGCTCCTACACACATGATGTTAGAACCACCAGGAAAGAGTCTGAACCAGCGAGCAGACGTGGGAAGACAGATGGAGCGAGTAGAGGTAGGCGAGGGAGATGGTTTTGTATTCCGAGAGGCAGGCCCCCCCAAACCATCCCAAACAATGAGTTTGAGTCGACTATTGTTGTTACTCAAACTGCAGGCTGTTCTCCCTTCTTGAAACACACGGGTCGACCCGTGCTAGCATGGGTCGACTGGCACTGTGCCGCCACGTGTCCAGTTTGGCACGGCACTTCAGCCTGGACGGGGTCGCCTGGCCGATGGTCTTCTCGCAGGCGCAGCTCTCGAGGCGCGTCGTTCAAAACGCGCAGCTGGATTCGAGTGCGGGGACCGGCTGGCGAGTCACGTTCGGGTCCGTCAGTCGCCACCCCCAGGCCACTTCACACGATGTAAAGATTTCTACCCACAGAACTCAGTGTGAGGGGCATCAAAGTTCCTTTGGCAACGTTGGTAAATGGAAAAGGAACGTTGAAGCTACCGGCGTTGTTTGCGATCAGGGACACACGTGCCTTTTTCTTTTTTGCGTTTCGGGCACGTTGTCTGGGGTTGTAAGGCGGGGGCACATGATCAACTTCTGTGTGTGGTGCACTACAAGATGGAGTTTACTCGGACCACAAAAGTCACAAACAAAGAAACAGATCTCTGGAACTCAGACCATGATGACCATGAATTGAGTCTGGAGACAGATGAACAGATGAAAGTCCCCGCTTTTTCGTGGACTCAGAAGGTGCTCAGTACGTCCGGTCGTGGCGCAGTCGTTGGCGACACGTTTACGCACGGTCGTTGTTTTCCGGTCCGCAGGGCCGGAGAAAAAAGGATCCTGGCTTTGGAGACGGGTCCGATGGTTTTGGTTCGGATAGAAAACCAGGCTTGTACATCCCCATTCTACCGGTCAGGAAACAAGAAATCACAACTTGTGATAACATCACGCTGCCAATTCAACATGTGATATAGATTAATTTTAAACACGAGGTGAACCCTCAAGGCACTTTTGATGCATGCCGTCAACATGACCAAGCAGCGCCCTTACAGTACCAACTTTAAGTAGGAATCTAATGCATGACATGTTGGTTAGGTACCAGTGTCTCCTGCAAGGCACACCTGTGGATATCTTCGGTGATGGAAACGCTCGGCGGGGCACTTCATGTCTTCACTTTGGGGCACGCCTGGTGGGTCTTTTGCCCCGGCTGAAGATTCCAAGCACAAGCCAAGCCAATCCAGGCTGAGTGTGCAGGTTTTAGTGTCGCCGTGTCGCACTGTCGACTCGACGTGTCGTTCTTTGACTCAGCCCTGCCAGCCACCAAAGCTGGAGGTTTGCTTCGACTCCGGGGGCGCAGAGGACGAGGAAGTCAATGAAGTTTGGTGACCAGCCAGGACCTTTGAACACTTCATTTGCCGGGTGCCGGGCTGGTGCCGGACTTGAGGGCCTTTGAGGCGAGGGCGCTTGTCCTATGAGAAGGGGGCTTCGACGAGCAAACCACTGCAGATCGATCACACATCTTTTGGGCCTGCGCACTTCGGTATGTAGAGGTGTATTGCGTGGATGTATCAAACGACCACAGCAACGGATGCACGCAACTCAACTGTGCCACAGTTGTTTTCTGCATGGATCCAGATGGCACACTCAGGAGACGTCCAGCAATGCAAATCCACACAACAATGCACATTAACCATCAAATATATGTGTCAACTTTGTGGGTTCCAGCCAAGTGGATAGTGCATCCGCAAAGACATCTCGAGAGGCGATGAAGTCAAGAACTTGAATTTCCCGTGTCTCATGGGGCCACGGCGGCCATGTGAAGTAACTCAACCTATCTCAACCTGGTCATTCCTAAGGCTGCACTCAGCGTACTCAGTCCGTTCGCAGGACCCTTTGATGCGCAACAAGAGTTTCTGGTCACCGTGCCCGAGATCGCCGAGTGCCCGCTTCAAATGCGATGGCGGTGGATCGTGCGTGGTGGTCCGGTTTGGATGGTCTGAAAAAACTGAAGCACTTCCCGGTGCCACGCGTGGTCCGCGACACTCTGTGATATGAATTGGTCAATCGTGCCACGATCTTGTCGTACATATTCCTCATTGATGGGATGTAGCTGCATGAGGTGAGCGTGGGGTTCCTGCGTTCCATAGCACGCCTACTCGTTTCAATTTGGAGGGTCAAACAAACAATGAGAGCCATCTTGCCACAGATAAAAAAACAATCCGAATTGACACCGCCAAAACTACAGGTTTTGGTAATTAGGTCAGGTCTATTCCATTCCTGCTGACCATCGGGGAGGTTGACGTGACTCAGCAACTTTCAACAAGCTCCAGATGTTCCAAGTTGTTTGTGTACGCAAATGACATAATAACAAGGATTTGTCTGAAAATCCTGTATAAAAATATATATATATATGAGCATATATATATATATATAATATGATATACACATATGATAAGCTACCAACACATGATATGCCAGAACGCAACACCAAACAGCTCTTCTCGAGGGTTTGGGTACTAACCGTTTTACTAGCACTGCCCAGATCCGAAGTGAGGCATCCACCTGCTAAATCGACCGCCAATCCCACTAACCTTTTCGACCCCTTCCCCTGGACCCTCTCCTCTCCTCTGTCCTCTCCTCTCGTCTCCCAGGGCCCTCTCCGAGCGCCGGGGCCTCTTCGCCGAAGTGGCGCTCTCACCCAGGCGCCGACGGCGAGCGGCGCGACGTCGCGTTGCCCATGGGAGCGTGGTTGCGGCGGGTTCACAGGCACCAGGCCACCTGTTTTGTTTCAAGGGCGGGTTTCGAAGGCAGACCGTTCTGTGGAGTTCCTGGAAACGTTCAACTCCGAGGGGGGGGTTCGGAAGACGAGGCTGTCCTGGCGGACGATGCTCTTGTCCGATAGATCGGAGTAGATGGCTCAAATTCATCAAACTTTAAAACGATCAGGCTAAGGTCTGTGCCCCACAGTCTGGCTCTGAATCTGGAGTCAAGGTCAATAAGACCTGTTTCCATGGTTCAGGAGAAGCACTTTGACGCTCTCATACTCTACATTTTGGGGTGGGGAAGTATATGGGCAACCCTGGTTGGAACTCGTTTCCATTGCAGGTGATCGAAACAGGAGATCGAACACGATGGGTGAACTGGTGATCCAAGAACCCTTTGAAGGACGGGTGGAGTGTAACGGCCTCAAAAAGATGAAGAAGATCCGGATCCGAAATCCCAACATGCTTCCAATGCCTTCAGTGAACAAGAAGCTACGAACGGGGCTCCTGACCTTACTACTAGGAGCAAGGACGCTACTAGGGGCTAAACCCACATCGCTACTAAGAGCATTCTTACCACTAGTAGCAACATGTTTCCAACCTTCGGAAGGTTTTCGCCAAGGGGAGGACCCTCATGAACCCTCTGGTGCCGTCCGATCGCTTGGGCCACCGCCACCCTCGGTTGCCGTCGCGACACGGGGGGGGGATGAGATGGGCAAAGACCAACGAAAGGAGACTGGGGGGATCGTGCGAGAGACAGTCTTTTGCTTTTGCTTTTCGTTGTTAAATGTCTAGCGATGGCCTCCAGCCTACTAGCCATGGCCTCCAACCTACTAGCGATGCCCTCCAAGCTAGTAGCGATGGTAGACCCTTGTATATAACTTTTGTTGGTTCATTCTGCGACTTGCCTTTTTCGCTTTACGATGCTCTACGAGTTCACCCAGCTAAGCTCACTCAAACAATGGCCTCCAACCCAACATTCCGCGACGCTCGCTGATGCAGCAACGGATCTTGAGGCGGTTCCGGCACCGAAGGTATTCGATTCTACATATTGTTGATGGGCCAACGACACAAAGTTTTACACAACTCTTTGATTCAATTTGCCTCGGACGCTACTAGGGCTCCTGACCTTACTGCTAGGGCTCCTGGCCTTACTACTAGGAACAAGAAGCTACTAGGGGCTCCTGGCATCGCTACTAGGAGCAAGGACGCTACTAGGGGCTAAACCCGCAACGGAACGCACGGTGGAGCCAGTCACGGCGCTCGGAACAGGAGCTATCCTGGACTGGGTGGCACCTGGTACGAGGCACCGAGGGTCTTGGAAGGGAGATGAGGCCATAGATGGCCATGGTGAGCATTCTGGAGCAAACTCTTAAATTTATATAATCTACAACATAGCAAGGGATCATCACACCTTTCTGTGGTGGAGGGTGAGACATCCTCCACTTTTTCTGGATATTTGCCACAGATGCCCCTTTGACCCATCTCCACCCGCTTCAACGACAAGGAGGGGGCCTTTTTTTTGAGAGATTCGCTTTGTTGGAACAAGGGACTCCAACTTGCCTGCCGGCAGAGGTCCAAACAGTCTCCACCCACACGCGTGGGTGGAACATTTTGTGTCCGTCTAAAAAACTGCCTCAAGTATTGGAGACTACATTGGAGACCTCTGTTTTCGACATGACACCCAGGTGTGCCCTTAGGTAGTGTTTCTGTGTTCTTCTCTGCACAAAAAAGCAGAGTCCGCCACTTCGAGAGAATCCGCACTTTGTGCTGGCACGACATATAGATTAATATAGATGAACTATTGGTTATACCCTAGGCTTCAAACAGCCATGGACCATGGATTTAATAGTCTTTATGTTATGTGTCTTTATCAACCCCCGTGATTTGCAATGTTTTACTATATATATATAGGGATGTGACACTACAAAACGACTATAACATAAGGGTTCATGTTCGACTCGGCCAATTCCGAGACGAAATCCATCGAACGGATTTCCACCTCCCAGGTCACGTCTGTGGAGGTGCTGTGGAGCTTTCGCCCCGAGGCGTGGCGTGACGGATGAAGCGGTTCTTCTCAACCATGTGACATGGGTTGTTCAACGGTTCAACGACATGTTGGGTGATCGATCAAAGAACAATCCACACCATTAACCCGAATTTGGATGAATTTGGAGTTTCTGGTGGACACGATATAAGCATCCTAGATTCATAGCTTCGGCAATTGGAGCAACCCTTGTGCACACCGGCGACCTGCCTTGGAAAATGATATCCAACTGTGTCGACTAGGTTTGCTTGTTGACCTTCGAAAGAACCTGTGAGCATCCTATGGACCCTACTCATTGCAAATTGCTTTCTTGTCCATCAGCTCCAGGCCCAGGGACATTCCAAGGGTTGCTTCCCAGTTCATTGCATGAGATGGGCTCAACATGTGCACATCTGCAACAGCAAACCACCATGAGCTGTTCCGACAGTGCGTGCATTTTGCACGTGCTTTATTTTACAGGGTTGGAAAAGGTGGGTTTTGTGGTCACAGTTTTTGTTTTCGTGCAGTGCTTTTGTGGCGTTCGACATGCCAGCAGTTTTGTGGTGGTATTGTTTCGGTTGTCGGGGGTGTTCGGGAAATTTCGGGAACCTTCAGTCACTTGGAGTGTTCGAGAACTTTGTTTCGATTGGATCTGTACTTTTCTTTGGACCCGTACATAACGTATATAAATATTTTGCCCCGGCCTTTGTTGGGTGACACACATACACGTACAGAGGCGGCTTGTCGTTGAAACAAGTCTATACAGGTTTTGGGTTGACTGGGATTGGGTTGGTGGTTGCCGCAACGTTTTGTTTCTTTGTTGGTTGAAATTCTGTAGAGATAGATGACAAGTTTCTTCTTGCTGTTGAGTAGACAACAACGAGCCATTTTTTTGCTTGGCTCTGAATGAGACTTTTGACAGAACTTGACCTGAACGCTTCTCGCCCAGCGAGTTCAGATGCAAATTCGCATCTGGGAAAGCATCGGAATCACATCCGCAGGCCTTTGAGGCTTTCACCACGAAAACCTTTGGAGAAGCCGCGCTCTGGGGGGGACACCGCGTTTGTGAGCGCTCGAACGAACATGCAAACGTGCCCTTGGTGGATCTCCCACCCGTCGGAGCGGCGCGAAGCGGTTTCCGAAGAGACTTCCCACTACTCTCCCTTTTGGCCCATGGAATGTGCTTGCTAGCTGCAGATCTGCTACTCTGAAAACAGTTCACAATCGTTTGGGTCATTTCACAAAAGACACTCAGAAGACCTTCAGAACTTGGCCTCAGGCGCTCTTGCAAGCAGAGCTTCTCTCCTTGTGCTTCTTCCAGAACTGGCCATGTAGCTCTGCCAGTGCCATCCAGGCCTCCTCCGCCGGGCGGAAAAAGATTGGTCGAAGATGTGACTGCGAAACGCACAAACAACCCAGCCGTTGGAAGATGATTTCCAGAAAAGGATGAACTGCACTTCTTCTTGCCCCTGAAGATTGTGTCGAAAAGCCGATTGTAGAAGTTGTATTCCTGCAGATGCAACTGCCCGAGGCAACTGCGTTCCGATCGAGATGAATTGGGTTCAGATCCTATGATGCGATCCGGTAAGTGCGAACTACCACTTGGATCCATTTACTGCTGTCCCCTTACAGAGTGCTTGGTACAACATGTTTCCTTCACCACAAAAACCTTCGCACCGGTCCCTCCGCCCCGGCTGAACCGGGAGGACGCTCGGAAGCTCTTCCTCCTGGGCCATGGCTCCAAGCCATCGCCTGCGGCGTCGCTGGAAGCGGCGGCGGCACTGCTGCGGGGACCGGCTCCTCCGAATCAAGATGCTGAGCTGGGCCCAGGCAGAATGGGCAATGGAGTTGGCAAGCCGACTGATGGGTTGTGTTAGACAAGTGGTCAGGTTTGGTTGGGGTGAAGATGATCCCTCATTGAAAGGAATGTAGAGTGGCAGTTTTGCAGGGTAGAGGACGTTTGTTAGTGTGTTTCTTGAGATTCGTCGCCGCGTTGTCGCCTTTGTGCTAGAAGTCTGTCAGGATTCGGTGATCCTCCTTTAACCGGCCACCTCCTTAGTAGTGAGAATATATCTGTATGTACAGTCCTAATACTGTCAAAATTACTACTGTATGTCTTGTGACCAAAAAGTGGCTCGACATTCATCACACTTTTCTTGCTAAGCATAAAGAATTCGCTGCGTAACACTGAGCTCTCTCTCTCTCTCTGTCTGTCTGTCTGTCTGCCTGTCTCTCTGTCTCTGTCTCTGTCTCTGTCTCTGTCTCTGTCTGTCTGTCTGTTTGTCCCTCTCTCTCTCTCTCTTGTGAGCTTCTTCTTCTACCCCAATGAGGTGGCAGGTTTCTCAACATGTGGTCCATGTCTTGTCGTCAACTTAGCTGAGATTCTCAAGATAACGTCCGTCTCACTCCCTGTGGCTGCAGCCCACGGTAGGCCCCCCTTGGGTGCTTGGCCCATCCCGCCGATTTGCGGCGCAACCCCCCGTTGCAGGGGTATACCTGACGGCAGAGTCCGAGGAAACGGGGTGTCGGAGCGAAACGCGTGGGGAAAACGCCGGAAGATTCGTGGTTTCCACTGGTGTCGGAGGCCGCAATGGCGGTGTCGGAGGCCACCTGGGCAAGGATTCTGAGTGTTCTGCCCCTGTTGGAAAGAGGCACCCCAAAAAGTCGAACAGGCTGAGCTTCTTGCAAGTGGGTCATGCGTTGGAAGACCCAGTGAAACACTTGAGTAAAGACCCGGGACCTTACCTGGTTTTCGTTGTTTTTTTCCGCCAGTTTGTCCAAGAGGGTCCCAGGTGTCGTTTCGCCTGTTCGAACGCAGAACCGCTTGAAACCCGACTCCTTCGCAGAACCGAAGATGGTCTTGTTGGATAAGATTGGAGCCGAACCGAAGCGCACGGGAGTTGTTCATTCACATGAGAGGTGGAGGACGAAGTCGGATTGGGATAGACCATTAGCATTCGCAGTCCCTTGATGTTGCTCCAAAGTTTGAGACCTTGAAACAGATTTGTCCATGAATAAACTCAATGAGTTGTGGCGCTTGAGGATCCGGAAGAGGATGAGGAAGATGAAGAGGAAGAAGAGGAAGGTTGTCTCTCGAGGGCACCCGGACAGCTGGTGGTTCAAGCACCCTATCGACTTCCTGATGTGAGGTGGGTTTGGGTCAGTCGTGCGGGGATACCCAGGTTTGGCATGGTGTTTGGGCTGGGACCGGGATGAAGTTTTTTTGGGAGAATGTGAGTGAGGACTTTTACTTTTGGGTGAGCTGAAGGTGAAAAAAACTGCTGAGCCACTGATGCTCGAATTGACCCGCTCCTCTTGTGAAGCCGATGTTCGAATCCTTCGGGACTTGACGGCCATGGGGAGAGTTTGGAGATGGGAGAGCCCTCAAGTTGAAAGAACTCAAGGGTTGAACACGTTTCTTGGTGAAGTTCAACTTGGTGAAGGGTTGAAAGAACTCAAGCCCTCAACTTGGTTTTGCCAACAAATTTGGGAGGGCGGGGTTACTCTCTCAGAAATATTACTGTACATCCTTTTGTCATTCTGAGATTCTGGACTCACATACTACACTACTTGACTATACATTGTTGTTCCATGGTCTAGTATTCAAGTGGTTGATGTTTGCTTTGGGCGTCAGCCCAGTTCCTTCTCGTGCTCTATGTACCCCGTCTTGCCGACCACGGTCTCGCCATCCCCACGGTCTTGCCATCCGCCAGTCTGGACTTCACCAGCGGTTCACAGCTGACACTGGCCATGGTCAACGTGGTTCACGGTCGCCATGCGCTCCGTTGTGGCCTCGTGGTCCTTCAGGACCGGAACCTCGGCGGTGGACTGGAGTTGTGGAGGTGGGGACACGGGGTTCTGTCATCGGAAAGCGGGGGGAAGGGGGGGTTTAGATGGGGAGGGGGGTTGCCGGTACCCTCCTGGAACTCGCTGTTTATGGTGGACAATACGAAGCTTTGTTGCCTACGAGGCGGAGACTGAGTGATCACTGTTGTTCGAGCCTTGGAGGAGTTGCGCTTCGGTCCACTTCGTGACCGGCCTTTTGAGGGTTTCTTCGATCCCCCCGCTTCGACCCCCGAGAGAAGCCGCGAGCCAAAAAAGAGGTCAGCAAGCATGCCACAGTGGTTTTTCCAACACCCCCAGCACGTCACCTTTCCACGAAAAATGGGTCATATAATGTCATATAGCTGTCATAGAGGGGCCTTTGGTTCTCATTGACCTATTTTGCCCCGACATCTTCGTGGTGGGAGAGGCCTGTCCCCACGGATCATCCACCACGAGACACCACACTGTGATCTTCCTTCGCTGCTGTGGGTGGTAAAGGCTTCCCAGCCCCCAAATCCTTGCCCACACCATCCCACGGTCGTTTCCACTGTAAATCGGTCACTCAATCAGCAGTGAAGACATCTAAATACAATGTCTTTAGAATGTAAGTACCCTGTTCTTCTACAGACAACAAAGGACTACGGCCTCGTTTCTCAACATCGTCTAAGACATATACTAGCGTACTACTTAGTAATGAGATTTCTCTCACCAGACAAGCTCCCGGAGCATCTCAGGAAAGTCCTGGGCTGCTGCTGGTGCAAAGTACCTTGGGATTTGTTACTTGTTTAAGGGTGGGAGAGCTGGAAGGCTTATTGGTCATGTTGGAACTGAGAAACGAGCAAGAAACGCTGACTTTGCAGTTTGCAGCGCAAGTGACACCGAACTCTAAGCCTTTTACACCAGGTCACCAGCTGGGATACAGGGGGTAGTGAAGATGGACCTATGGAAGAATGGACACTCTACCACCCCGCTCTAGCAGAGATCTTGCAGCTTATACGGTCAATACTTTGTTACGACAACATTGCTTCACGTGCAAGAAGTGCACCATGAGCCTCGACACCCCACAACACCCTATCAGTTTGCTTGCCCTTCTCCAACTGGAAACTCGCCTTCTCACTGATAGTTAAGTTTCCCATAGTTTCCCTAAACATCTAGGAACCAAATCATTCGTGCATGAGCTATCCTGCGTCCATACTAAAGTAGCTACTTAAAGCTACTAGCTGCCTCTTCCCCTAGCTACCTAGCATTACCTAGCTACTACCTGTACGGCCTACCCCCCGCCCTCGGACCTCCCCCCGCTCCATCTCCTTCCGACGGAGCGACTTCGACCGCGACGCCCCCTCGCCACTGAGGGGCCTCCAGCAAATCGATTCTCCCAGGCGCCGGCGAACAATCGAAGTCCCGTGCCGTTGGCACCGGAGTTCGTTCGCCCGGATGTTTGGCACTTCAGGTGTTGGTCGTTCTATGATTGTAGTGCTTCTTTTTGTTTTTTTAGAATTAAATGGTTTCCAACCCTGTACCGGGGTATACCGGCGGTGTGGGATGTCTCTCCTTTGAAGTTCCTCAGGTCCACAGCACCTGAGCCATGTTGGGTGGCCAGCTACTTCACACCTACTTGAACTCCACTTTCTGTCTTCAGAAAGACATGGGGCCCCATCTGAGGGAGGCCCTGAGTGGTACCTATGTTTATGTCGAGTTTCCAATGAAGGCGGCAGCACTTTCATGTCCAGTCCGACCAAGTCCGCCACCCATGTCTTCCTGCATGTCTTCCGACCTGGGTGAAGAAGACATGCCCACGGTCACGTCGCCTCTGGTCGCCGCAGACGCGCGGTTTGGGGACGCGGTTTTACCTGGAAGCAGCGAGTGGAAGCCAACTGGGCTTTGCGGCACAAAAGCTCTCCAGTGGGCCCTGCCTGGAGGATGACTCCGCGGCGAGGGTTTCGGAAGTGTTGGGGTGGTCTGTTCGGGGACGATCCTTTTCCTTTGCGACGGCGATGGCGGACGTGTTCGATTGTGTTTGGAATGATTGGTGTTGTCGTGTCTGTCTTGGGATTCTCTATGTATATATCATCCGGACTGTGCGTGAGACTCGTAGAGAATGCGGGTGGCTAGATGCCGGTTGGTATCTATAGTGGATCCTCCTAGGGTCATTCCCTCATTCCCTGCAAAGTCAGATCATCAAACAGTCTCAAGCGAAAACCCGCAACAAGCCCTAGTAGCCCTAGTAGCCCTAGCGAATTCAACCCGTCACCAGATCTGTGGTGCTGCATCTGTGGGAGTCTATAGAGCTTCCTAGCAGCACTCCTGGCTTCAGAGTTCTCTGAGTTCTCAGAGTTCACCAGAAAACTTGGATCTTCGAATCTTCGAACTGGAGTTCCCAACGGGACGACGTCCATTTGCACCCCTTTCGCACCCATCCTTTCGCGACTCACGTGGCGAAAGCGCTGCGGCGGCAGGACTTGCTGAATGCTCTTCAGGGAGCACCCTACATGCGCACGAAAGCGAGACTTGCGCACGAAAGTTGGGAGACTCCGGGTGTGATCCTCTTGGGTTTTTCTCATTATTCCCCAACAGCGAAGCTAGGGGTCTTTTGCCATAGTAAAAGCTTCGGAGCAGATCCGGAGCAGGCTCCGGAGGAGGTTCCGGAGTTCCGGAGAAGGTTCCGGAGCAGGTTCTGGAGCAGGTTCCGGAGCAGGTTCCGGAGAAGGTTCCGGCCGGAGGTTCCGGAGTAGTTTCCGGAGCAGTTTCCGGAGTCGGTTCCGGAGGAGGTCCAGGGTCCGGAGCAGGCTCTCCGGAGCAAAGGTTCCGGAGTATAGGTTCCGGAGCAGGTTTCGGATTGGCTGAAAAGTTGGCCTTGAGCTGTTGGGGTTTTTTCTTGGGCTTATTTCTTGGGGGTGCCGTAGAATTTTGGAGAGGAGCCAACAGAAAACTTTATTAGATGGTATATGTGCAATGGTCAAAGCATGTCGTCTAGTTTCGTTAGTTGGCGGTGAAAAAGAGGCTGCACAAGACGGTCACCCACTACCCACTAGAATCACTAGAAGTACGGGATGGCTTGTACTCCCAAACTTGGGGTGTGACCCCCCCCGTGACCCCCCCCCACAGTACAGGGAGTTTGGACCATAATTTGTTCAACAATGAGAACACACCAAAGACCAGGAAGTGCACTGGTTCTATTTCCCTACAGGGAAGAGATGCAGTGATCAGCATGTGGACAAGTGAAGTCTTTCAGGCGACGACCCCAAAGCCGAATCAATATCATGTAATGTAATTTATAGGGATAGTGAAAGAATCCTGGCTCTTGTGTGTGTGGGTCCACACTTGACAGTCTTGTTGACACCACCGATGCCGCGATGCGCTTGGTTTGAGGAGATTGGAACACTTACCACCCGACCTGGGCCTGCGGATGAACGGGAAACCGTTTGTGCTCCCAGGTGGTGTAGGGTAGGGTTTGTCCATGACAAATAATGTAAAGATGGAAGGATGGAGTCCTTTTTAACACTTGCACAATCCAACGTCGAAGTGACACACACACAGAGGGTCCGTGAACATGCATGTTCCTCGAACGCGGTGGGTGGTTCATTCTTGTATAATATGTTTGTTCTACTTCCGGTTGGCACTGTCTCCGGACCGGGCTGGGACGAGAGTCTTCACGAACACCGAGGCGCAACCAATGAGGCTCCAGCCGTTGGGCCAAACCATCGCTTTTACACAACTTGCTGCAGCTACTCGCAGTCCGTTTGGCGGCGAAAGAGCGATTGGTGAGATGATGGGAGAAGCGCGTGTGGAATTTGTAGCTCAAAACATAATGTTGGTCAATGTCAGAGCTACAAACACCGCGGTTTAGTGGCTGATTCAGGCGCGTTTGTTTTTTTTGCTTCCATTTTGTGGGTCCATTTGCAAAGAATAAGGTCCATTTGGTTTTGTGGGTCCGTAGGGTTCAATCATTGGTGACCGTGTTTCATCCAGGATCTCAAACTTTAGGAGAATGGTCTCTAAAAATTTCAAACCAAGTCTGCAGAATGTGGGTGCTGAGATGTTTGTTTCAAGTTTTTACGCCTTCTTGAGTTTGCAAAGGACAAAATAGAGGGACCACAAAAACATAGAGCACGTGATTTCCTTGCACGATGTACCACGTATTTGTATGTGTTTGCATTTGAGTGTTCGCATTGTCATTGCCATTTGTATGTTGAGATAGTCTTCAAGGACAACACCCGTAAGACCCAATCGCCATGTCCCCAAAATCAGGCTGACCACTCCTTGGTGTTGGCAGTGGAGCCAGGGTCTTTCTTTGGTATGTAGAGCAGAAGTAGTGTTTGGGGGGGCCATGTTTGGCGGGGCCACCAAGAACAGGTGGCCCATGTTTCTCGCTTCGTTTTGGGCTTTGCTCCGGGTGATCATTGGGCTTGCCAGGACCGGATGCACCGGTGGAGGCATGTTGCCATCGAAGCCTTCCTACCAAAAAAATAGTAATGACCTGGAACTATATAAATGAAGGCACGAGTGCATTTTAACATGTAGAAACTGTTTAGAAAACTACGGTCTGTATACATTTAAATGGAGGGTCGCTGGCTAACGCTGGTTAAAGCAAGAGCTTTGCTGCGCTGCTGACATGGACATGGCAGGAGACGGTTTTGGGGCCATCATGAATCGGCATTTTCTTGCCGTCAACACTTTTGAGAAGTCGTTCATTTGACCCTACACAGGGTGTTGGGATGTCAGTGGGTTTTGATTCATAAAGACGACCCGTTGCAGGACCTGCAGCAGTTCCAAGGTTCGAAACGGAAGCAGGAACAAACACAATCCAAGCGTCATACCTGAGCTTTAACTTGCTTTGAACAAGTCCATTCTTTCAGGCTTGCACGCCTGAAATTCTTAGCCCTGGAAGAGACTCCTCTTAGCCCTGGTGCAGCGAAAGACTTCGACTTCGCATCCTCAATTCAAAGTTAATGATTTAATGATTTGCATCCGGCAACTTCCTCAAGTCGACCGACCCAGAAGACTACCTTGCTCTTGTGCCATACAATTTCACACCGGCCTCTTCCTCTTGACCGCCTCGTGTTTTCAGAGGGCAGTATCAACCGATTCATGAACGTTAAACACCTTCAAGTTGAACCACCAACCAGTCTGGGCATGCCCCACAACCAGTTACTTTCGCACATCAGCAGAACCAACACCAACGCACCGGGACGCTGCGACGGTGCGGATCCCAATGGCCTTGAAGGCGAGCTCCGGACTTTGGAGCTCCGGGGAGCGAAGAAGCTTCGATTCGGAGCGACGAAGACGCCTGGAGTCTACTGGACCTCCTAGATACCTACTGGAGGCCCTGGAGGCCCAGACATGCCCAGACTCCGGGCTTTTTCATGCCTTTTCACTTCAGAAATGGAGGCAGGTGGTGATGAGGAAGAAAGAGACCTGAAATCGGTCGGTTTACAAGAATTCGGAGTTCTTAGCCTTGTCTCTGAACCAACTTCTTGTTCCTCGTAATTAGTAAGGCCAGCGTAACTACTACTGAGCAACGCGTCGCTCCGTTTGTAGCGATGCCCTGTGCTCCGTTCGTAGCTAGATGCACACGCCAATCTTTTGTTTTTTGGGCGTTTTTTTCGTCGATGCGCCCAAGTCTCTGGAGATGGTGGGAGGTATGTCTCAACATGAGGCGTGTGGAGAATCCATCGACCAGAGACCAACAGTTGAACGCCCCCGGGAAAATCGACTGGTCGGTTCCAGGGAAACGGTTGGGAGATCCCAGGGAAATACCAGGGCCTAGCTATACCAGGAATTGCTTGGGAATTTTTAGCGGTCAGCACTCTGTTCCCTCATGTTCCCTCACGAGACAGGAGATGGAGAGAGAGGGGGAGATCGCGCTCAAAAAGATCCCTTTTTTGCGGCTAGGATGAGACAAGAAACCGAAAGGGACCTGGACAAACTTGGTATCTTTGGCTTGGAGGATCCTTCTCTTGGTGTGACACGAAACCAAAAGACTCCTCCTCCCTCCCCCGTCCTCCTCGCTTCGGGTTCGCGCCATTGCGAACCCGTCCTCCTCGCGACATGCGTGCGACATGCAACACGCCAGGTGGGCGACATGCGTGCGCATGAGGTCTTCGTCGCCGAAAATCTCTTGCGCCAGGATCGGTGGGAGGATCTCGTGCGCTGTTGGGGGGGATGTTTTGGGAGGAGAGCGATGTTTGTTCTGTGTCTGGACAGGAATCCACCTATGTCTAATCGATCTATATATGTCTACATATGATCCAAGACCTCAAGGAGGTATGATCCATCTCCAAGAAACATATCTATATGTATGCTTCGACCAGAAATGCAGCATGCAGTCCTTCGTACTGACAAAATTGGACAAAATCCAAGACTTTAAGCACATCTCATGACTAGGCAAGGCATCTCTTAGTCTCCAAATACGATAAGGTGACCAATGTGACCAATCATGGATGCCATGTCAGAAAGGAAGCAAAGGACCAAACTTTGCCGGATTTTGGACTGACATGATCCCCCAGTGCATTTCCAATACAAAATGGGCAGCCTTAAGGCCGAGTACACAGGGGTGCAAATTGTAGTGTGCTGCCACCCCTGCATTTTGTAGTGAATTAGAATGGATTACGAGAGATTAAGATATATAACGAATCCAGGTCCTGTCATTTTGTAGTGAAGCTACATGTTCAGCATATTTGGGAAGGTTTTTGGGGGTGTGGAAACCATTTTGTAGTGATTTGCACGGTCATTTTGTAGTGATCGGCGCGGTCATTTTGTAGTGGAAATGCACGTCGTAAACATTCCAAACACGACGAGACACAGACAGGCATTTTGTAGCAAACATAAATCTGGTTTCTGTCCGAGAGCATGTTGTAGCAAACAGAAACCACAAGGCCCGTCCGTATAACTGATGGCTTCGGTCATTTTGCAGTGAGCCCACATTTTACCTTTTAAGTCCTGGGATAAATCGTATATATAATATAGCTACAAAATGCCCTACACCCTCACCCGTGGAATTGGAAGGGGATCAGACATTATCATTTTAACACCAAACTTGACTTTCCCCATGTAGACTTGGCGTGCAACATTCACGACACTCAGCAGGAGGTGACAAAGCTGACAAAGCAGTTCGAATCTGAAAGCCTTGTACACAAAGGTTGATGACTTCAGTTTCAAGAACATACGCTAAGAATCTAAGAAGTTGCATGACCAATGGCAAGCACTACAATGTTCAGAAGGTACCCTTTTCACTTGCGATTCGGGACGCCCATCATGAAACAAATCCTGCACCAATGGTCAATCCCCTGAAAACAGCGAGTTTGAACAGCACCACTAGCAGCACTAGCACTATCCACCATTGGTGGTTGACCCACCAAATGCCGCCTCGTCCACGTGAGGTGCCGCCTGCAGTGCCGTCTGCCACCCAGGCCGCCGCTGCGCGGCGCCTGGCGGCCGCCGCCAGGTGGGGGGCGACAGGTGGGTGGAGGATATGGTTCAACAACTCAGGTACCATCTAAAACCCTTGGTTGAAGGACAACTCATCATCTGGAATCTGCCGGCCCTGCATTCTTAGAGCCGCCAGATCAAGATGATTGGTTTTGAGTTTTGCCAAGTGCCAGGGCGCCAGAGACCTCACAAAAACGGGTTGGGCGGTCTCCCTAGAACTGCCCCTGTTCATGGGACAACGACGAAGTTTACCATGTAAAAGAGAACTGAATCTCCGAAGGGAGAGTTGGATGGATGCCATTTTTTGCGTGATTGGTATATTCCTGCGGGAACCATGCACATACTCGCTTAATCTCTACAACACGGCCAGATGACTGCGTCCCTCATTGGGGTGTTGGGGCATGGAGCAAATGGCCAAATCACAGGACTTCATTCTTTTTTTGTTTCAACATGCAGAGCCCACTCTGCTAATTAGCATGTCTAGTCCATTTTCCCTGCTAGCTCGACGTCCCAGTTTCCGCTTGTGTCCGAGTTTCTGCTTGAATGGCGCCGGCACCATTCCCCTGGTTGGGGGTCCATGGTTTGGGGATGTTTGGAGCCCTGGTCTTGTCGTCGATGCATGCGGTGTTTCAAGGGTCGATGGGTCAACGAGATTTCACGACGTCTGGTGCGAAGTCGAAGGTCGGGTCATTTTAACGGGACCGCATCGGAAGAAGGGAGGTATTTCATCAATAAAGGCAAGAAATGTGTGTGTGTGTGTGTTTTCCTTCTCTGGTCCAAACGGACCAGTCTTCAAAAAAACGGGTGGCCAGGAACATGTCATGAACCAATTCAACGGTCTCTGGGGTCCTCGGTTTCGACAACTCGACATGTGGTTTTTGCCTCCAAAGCACCTGGCTTGAGTTTTTGCCACCAGCACGGCACTTCTGAAGACTTTTACAAACAGTGGCCCCTCCAATAAACTCTTTCCATTCGGCTCGGACCTCCGATTCATCCGGGCCGTTTTGCTCAGCACATCTTCTGCTGCCAGGGCTCAGGTGACCAAGAGCTCCCCAAAGCAACCCAGCCGAAGGATTTTCCGATTCGGACTTGCGGAGAGCATCGGGTTGGTCTTGGGGCGTGGTGGTTCGCAGATGGGCGGAGATGGAGATGGGCATGGAGCAAAGAAAATCTAATGAGAGTTTACTAAGATTCCTGTACATCCCCATTCTACTGGGGGGGTTGTTGACTCACCAAAAACAGCTTTTAGAATCCACAAGAGTTCAAAGATGTAAAACATGTCTTGGAAGTTCAACAGCGCCCTGGATGGTGTAAGATCCTGTTGGTAGCAGTTAAACATAGGGAAACAATAGCAACACTTTATTTTGGCTGGGCACGCGATTCTTTGGAACAGGGAATATCCTACGAAAGATTGAACATGTGGGAGTTTTCTTCGGATATGAAAGGAAGAAGCTGAACTCCCAGGGTGCAGGGTAGGTGGCCACTGCGACGAAGGTTGCAGATGGATGGTTGGATGGTGTTTCCGTGGTGCTTCCACGCACTTCATTTCCCAGACCAACGTGCAGGGCACAACGCTCCCATGGTAATCCAGGATGGTTAGCACTTTCAAGAAGGATATGAGTGAATATAAGGTTGTGCAATGTCAAAAAGAAGTGAGCCAGCCGCGACTATGTCCGGTTCTTCATACATCCATCAATCTAACAAAACAGCGGCGCTGCAGATGGTGATGCGCAGTGGACCGGACAAGCTCTCCCCTGCTTTTCCAAGTGTGCCCGAGAGCAGACGTGCCAGAAACAATACCCTCACATTCCATGTACTGCTGCACATGGCCCACGGATGGTGACTTTTTGCCGGGTTTTGTCTACAGACTCTTATTGATTCTTGCATCGAAAGTTGCCCAACTGCTGACCTTCACCCCAACCAGGAGGTGATGTAGCTGTGGGTAGTCTTACTCCCTTCCCCCCCTTTGAAGAGGAACGAAGTTGACTGCCTTTGTTTCGGATTTGTTTGGGGTCTCAAAATGTTTGATCTCCAGAGAATGCCCGAGCCAAGCTGTTGGTCCTGTTGGGCCTGTTGGGCCGTTAGATTTGAAAGCATTGTGACAAGGGATCACTGTCCACTTAAACGCATTCACAGAAAACATCAGATAGCAAAGATGGTATGTTTGCCGGGCGGTTCCAACGGGTGTCCTATCTGGAGACCAAGCAGTGTGAGGGTTGTCCAGGTGACCTTTGGAACTGTTGGAAGATGGCAGTCTGCAGGGCTAGTAGCAAGGACGCTACTAGGTGGAGGCCATTGCTATTGGGTTGGAGGCCATCGCTACGAGTAACAACATATGAAGCTTTCTCTTCTTGTTCCCCTCCTTAGTCTCTTTGGACCAAGGGCACCCGCACCGCGCTACACCGCGCCGCGGCCCATTCCGGTGTCCACCGCGTCGGGGGCGCCCGGCTGGATGAATGGGAGTATGGGGGAGGACGAACATTTCAAACGGAATTTCGGATGATTTTGTAACAGCAAGCAAATGATCATAAATGAGCACCAGAAACGACAAACAGGTCCACTTTCTACAACCGTTGGGCTCAACAAGCAATCTAGTTCCCCACACCAAAAGCAATCGACCCAGGCATTGGACAGGAGCGATTTTTGGCCCCAAAGTGGAGTCCCTTTCAAGTGCAAGCATTTTCCCATGGATTGAGTTGGGCCAGCAACTTCTCGTGACTTGTCACTGTGCGTTAGACTTTCGACATCCACATGCGCCACGTCTTCGCTTTTGAGGTGCTATCGCTCCTGCTTCCAGCCGCCCGTGCAGCAGGCCCGGGTTGAAGAGGGTTCTTTGAAAACGATACTGTAATCGACAAAGGGGGAAGGTTGACGGCAGACCTTCTTCTTTGAATGGAGGGTGAGTAGCACGGCAAGTAAACATGACTTATGCAAAGAACACCCCCACAGGACATTTTGCCCTTGAGCTACTGGAGTGTAGGCGTTCTTCCATACCTCGATGGGCTTCCGCTTTCACAAAGAAACACTGAATGAAGTTTTACATTTGAGGAGTTGCATTCAGCAACTGTGCTTGAGGTCTCTGTTCCATTTGGGTTTTGGTGTTTGTTTGGTCTTCAATTCCCTCAGACACTTGTTCACATCCTTAGCCTGCACAACCATGAGATCTGACCCATATGCATGCCTGTTTGGGCCTCAGGGGGCAAGGACTCGTCACCGTTTGGAGCGAGTGGACCTGCCAAACAACCTGACGAAACCACTTGATCCACCCGTTGCCCTTTGTTCATCGATGAAAGGTGGCCCGGACCGAAGTCGGCACATGGACGGGTGGGCGAAGAAGGGCGAAGAATTGTTCGCCAATTTTTGGGAAATCACAAGAAGCAATTAGGTTGGAGGCCATCGCTAGTAGCTAGCAGCTACTAGGAACAAAGAGTGAAGCGATTCCCAACAGTATATAGTTTGCAACTTCGCCCTTCTGCGCCCAGTGGCTACGCTAAGTCTTTCATTTTTTTCCCCGACAAGTAGAGAGGCGCTGAATTCGGCCATGATCACGTCTGCGTACCCACCGCAAAGCGTGCTGCGTCGCCAGGAAGCAGATGCCTACTCCGAGGTGGGAGGATGCTTCAAATCGGGAAAATGACAATTGAATTAAAAAACAGTCTAAAGGTCTAAAGAAAAACACATACAGTAGAAACAATTAAAAAGAAAGAACATGGATTCCATGAATTCCGTAGCTAGGCTTGTGTGGCGTGCATCCGGCTGCGCCGGTAGGTCGAGTAGCGGTTTTCTGGACAGCGGACAGCAGACAGCAGCAGATGCCTGCTTTGCACCAGGTCGAAGTGCCCTCTTGGAGCCGCCCACTGGAGGAACGACCAGGTGTGGGGGCCGTGGGCGCCATTTTTGGTGGCTGAGCACGGCCAATTGAAAGTGGAAGACGCTTACTTATCATCCAAAATCTCGTGGAAGGGGCGAGCTATTTGGTTTGAGCATGTATCCTGTGATTCATATGTTTTTTTTCATCTTTTTTTCATACTTTTTTGACATGGGTTTTTCAAAAGCGGTGTTCTTGTTCTTTCCTCAGATCGTGTTTGTTTGTCCATTTACAGTGCTTTTGTGATGCTTTTGTGTCATGCTTTCCATTTTGCAATGTTTTCCCACAGCTCGCAGGATCTTTTCCCAACATGTCCAATGCAACGCCAAACGGTATCCCTGGCCTCCGTCGAAAGTCGCCGAACGTCGCCAGGACCAGGTCGCTCGCCACGGTCTCCAGAGGCAAGGAGCAGTGAGTTCGAGATATCACTTTTTGAATTTTGGGACCAAGGTGTGTGGATGAAACGTTGACCCTCTTTTCTTGCTAGTTGAACTCTTAGGATCGTTTTAGTGTGTATACCTTCGAACGCTCCCACCAATTGGCTGGCTTAATCATTTGCGTTCGAACGCCGTGTGAAGCACCGGTTGGACCTTCCCCGCGTTTTGGTTGGTGCCGGTTGGTTTTCGCTTCCCACCGGCATTTGTTGAACTCAAGAACTTGGAAGTCCCACTTTTAGCCACTTCAGAGATGTTCCATGGCATGGCTAGGCACCAGCCACAAGTGGCAGCGCTGCAAGCCGGGTGCCGAATGCGGGAAGGACCAATTGGCGGGTTGTTGATGGTTTTTCATCACTCAGAAATCAGTCTATGTTCCACTATGGAATGATCTATCTATCTTCCACAACCAACTTGTGGTAATTTTGTTGATGTGTCTTGCCAGTGGTTGAACCTTGGTAAGTTGGATCAGGGTTTGAACACATACGCACATCGAAATCGAATGGGAGCACTTCGTGAATCCCCTGGTAGAACATGCCTCAGAACCCAAATTTGGCTCTTACTTGATCTTCGAAGAGTTGTCCTGATTGCAAGACACACCCACATCTTACAGGCCATCTGAAAAGACTGAACTCAGGTCCTAGCATGGCGCGCCAAGCCCAGGCTGTCGAAGGGGTGTTGGGAAGAAGGATGACAAATTCTTCCTTCTTTTTTCTTTTGCTGTTTCTTGTTTACTTCCAAGCCGGTTGCAGCAAAAGAATCGCACCATGCTTCACCAGCGTAGAAACCTCTCCTGAGTCAAATATCTGTGCTTGAACCAGCTGATGCACTAGATTGCAACATGTGACATGTATTTTAGACTTATATGTGCAAAAACCGTCATCCTTGAGCGGACAAACAATCGTGACATGTCCCTTCCTCTTTGATCAAGGGAATGTAGTTCCTAGTTCCTAATAATGAATCGACCTGTCACAGAACAACATGTCACAGAACAAAATGGACCCTGTCACATATGAATATCATCATTTCATCATCATGTCAACCTCTTTGGAACACCCCCACCCAATCCTCCGTGGCGGTTCGTTTTTCCTCCTCCGTGGAGGTGCAGGTCGCCCACCAGGGCGTCGCCCGGGCGCCCACCAGCCCCTCCCTGGTGAGGGCCAACTCGGAGACTTGGCTGGGAGAGCAAGGAAGATGAAGGACGGTTGTGAGTGGAAATCCAGAAGACACGTCCCACTCTTCCGCATGGAGAAACATATTATTGGTCCGTGAGTCGTTAGTAATTGGAATGGTTTCGGATGCTCTTGAACAATCTCATCACCTCACTTGTCGCCACGATCACTTGCGCCACCAAAACGTTCTCACCGGATTGAACACCTGAGGACGACCGCCACGAAAGCAGGCCGCAGCGGGGTCCATTGTTCAGGGTCAACTTGTGGCATACGAGTTTGAGGGACGGACTTCGGTGGAGATGGGTTCCTGGGCCCCTGGAAGGGACTGCTAGAAAGCAACGAATCGCCGCCCCAGTAGAGAGGACCAATACAGATATTTGCAGGCGTTCTTTGTGTTCCAGCGGTGGGAGCGACTTTGGAGCCGACTTGTTATTTCCAGTTCGACGCGAGCGCCCCAGTTTGCTGGCCTAGTATACAAGCGTGTATCCTAAGTGTGTAGCAACAAGTGTGCCAACATCATTAAGCATCACTTCTCACTTGATTTGGGGCCCTTTCAGACGTTTGAAAGGTCGGGGCCCGTCTCCAAAGTGCCCGACCTTCGACAGCCACCGGAGCTTCCATGGCACGGGTAGCGTGTCGGAGGTGTCTTGGCTCCCCACCACGGCTGCCCTCGCGAAGCGATGACTACAGGAGACACGCGTTGACCTGCAGTAGTGACACCCCCCAAAAGAACCATTGCTGTGGTGAGTGGGAAAAAGGCTCATGGTTCCGTCCATATTGGGGAACTCTTCCAAGTGCAATTTAATAGCCAACAAATCCAAGTCATGGCAGATTAACATTCCTGCATGGCAAAAATCATGCCCCCTCTAAGCAATGGGGCCTATAGGGCATCGGATTACCAAAAGGCAATGCTTGTATGTGTAGGGTCTGCACTATTTTTTAACGAGGCCTTTACTAACCATCATCATCCTCTACTGGTAATGGGATGGACCCAATGTATGTGGTTTTTACTTGTACCAGCTTTGTTTGGTCTTCTTCAAAGGGCCCAGACTAGCTTTCAACGGAATCTTTCGACGGCTGACCTCGGAATCGGTCAAAATGGTCAAGTGCTCACGGTAAGCGTTTTGATTAGGGTGTGGTCATTGCTGTATCACTGTTGTTGCTTCAAATATCAATCCAGGCTCTCAAACACAAGAACAAGGTCGTTTCCGTGCCCGATTTCAGAATAAACTTTCATACCTTGCAAGACCAGGATATTGTTGGGACATGCACTAGGTCAAATATAGCATGTTTAGTAGCATGCTTTTGACTCAATTGTAGCAGCGCAACCATCTTCATGATGCTCATCGCTGATTTTCACCCATCCCCGAACCAGAACGACATGGCAACCATTGAGACTGCAGCTGCGAGGCAGTTGCGGAGGCATCCAGGTTGCTTGAAGAGTTCTTCTCTCTTTTTTTGCTATGATACAGACTCTAGCAGGAAAACCAGCTGTGAACAAATCCCAAGCAAGTGCATCGATCGGTATGACCTAGGCTAGGGTCGCAGCAACAACAATGCAAAAAGGCAAAAACTGGTGCACAGGCTGGGATGAAGACTTTTGAAAGGCAGGCATGTCTTGAAACCTATATTCATATATATATATATATAGGTTATATACTAAAATGAATTTATTTGGATTTCTAGATGTCATGTGCGAGTTAGACCTCTATAGGCACTCCCAACAGCCCCCTGATAGATCTCTTTTTCGGCATGGCGTGGCTGCGCTACGCGCCGCGCCGACGGAGCGGGTTGCAGGACCCCGACTCGGGTGCCTTCCACGCAGCGCTTAAGTGAAAGGCGGAGCGAGGCGGTCGCCGCCGGGTTGCAGTTGGAGGAACACGGAGGACACTCATTGGGTCGTCCGGGAGGAAACGTAGGTTTGGCTTTGAAAAACCTTCGGGCTTTGAAGAGAACTGAGCGGCTCTTGCAAGAAGATGCCCCCTGGGCACCTTTCTTTTGAGTTCAAATTTATAAAGTTTCAGGATTTCATATGATGATTTGATGGATGATTTCTATCCATGTCTCCGACTTCATCGACCCCAAGACCTTCATCTTATTGTTTAAAACATTCTTTTTAAGCATGTAAGTCCAACTCAGAGGTCCATAAGGAATGGTCCGCTATGGGCCGGGCCTGTGTTGGTGTTTTCATGGGCCACGCCACGTGAGAAAAGACGTCGCCCCGCCCCACAAGAGAGTCCAAACCGTTAAAGCAAATAAACAAGCTCGGACTACGAAAGACACACTTTTCAGGAACTCTCACAATTCAGGCACTGCCACAAAGAGTTCCTGATTATTCTATGTATGATGTTCTTTTAGGTTCGGCCTTGTTTTTAGAGTTCCTCCGCAAACACCAGTCCAATGGCCCCGCCCTCAACCTGAACCTACCTCCCGGACTCCTGAAGGTGACAGTAGCAATTCTCGGGAAACGCACTTCTATCAACACAAGTATTCCAGCGTGGAAAGCTGGCACCTGGGAGTTAAGCGGGCCACGTGGAACAAATCTACGCCGACGCATCTGCGCTCCGCCTGGTTGGCCACGCTGAATCCGTGGGTCCCACGCTGCAGATGAGCTCCATACGCCAGATATCCACCAGCACCCGACAGGTTTCGTGGAGACCTTTTTAAAGGGCCCGGGAAAACCTCTTCAACAGTGCCAAAGGTGGAGACCAAAGGAACGGACACCGTGTCCCGTCGGACCGTGGCGGAACCGTCTCAGGTGCGCACGCGGTCCATCGACCTGGCGCGATCGCCGTACCCAGGATGGGGCGGTTCCAAGAAAACGGGAGGGATCTGTTGTCCTGGAGCTGGGATGATGGGTGGATCCAGGAATTTTATATAGAACAGAGATTGAACAGATCAGAAAAAGGAAGAGAATGACATATCCAGAGACTGATTGGTCTATGGCAATATCCACAGATTCTCGACGCTTTCCACGCGTTCCGCAGCGGAGCCCAGCAACACCAGGCGCGGAGCGTCTGGCTGCACGCCGGCCTCCTGCCGTGGCTTCAAGGCCGGATCATCCAACTGATGATGGGTGGCTGAAGTGTATGGATGATAAAGAAAAACAGATAATTAGCAATGGCCTCGAACCTGATAGTGATGGCCTCCCACCTATCGAAGCGATGGCCTCCAACCTAGAAGGGACGACCTCCAACCTAATAGCGATGGCCTCCAACAAAATAACGATAGCCTCTAACCTGATAGCGATGGCCTCCAACCTAATGGCGACGGTCCGACCTAATGCTCCAACGGAGAAGCGATGGCCTCCAACCGAGAAGCGATGGCCTCCAACCTAGAAGCGATGGCCTCCAACCCAATAGCATGATAGGTAGTATGATGTGAATATTCTCAAGTTGTTGAAGATGAAATAGAGCATCCTGCTGGCTAGATTACCCTGATCACGTAGCTGACTTCTAAGTGCCAAAGACGTTGTGTTTCACGACACACCAGGGATATGTGTGTGCGTGAATCTCGTGGTCTACCCTGCTGCGGTGTTTTCTTGCATCCTCGAAGCATGGCTTCCTGAGCACTCTGATCCGTGCTGGTAGAGCAACGATACTTGGAAGTGGCATGCAGAAGATGCATCATTTCAGATGTTTTACAGCTTTGCTTCTGAACATCACGGTGCCCAACACCATAGAAAATATGAGGGGATTGGCCAGGGTGGCTCATGTTGCATTTTGACACCTGATTCTCACTATCCAAGAATCCTTCACATATCCTTGCACACGTATGCTTGTTTGTGCTGAGCGCACGCATTTGCCCTCATTCATGATCCAGCACCTTCAAAGTGACCGAACTTGAGATCGGATGAGGATGGATGAGGCCACCTTCGTGCACAGGTTACGAACAGCGACTCCAGGAAGTCACCTCGAAAAAAGCTCCTGGTTCATCTCTTTTCAGCCCCGGCCGCATCTCCAGGCCAGTGGAGGACGACTGCGCGGAGTACTCCGATCGCTTTTTGCCAGGCGCGGTCTCTTGATGTGCGACGTTTGAGACGCTGATTCTTTTGGGTCGAGCAAGGAAGGACCCAGGGGTCATTGGAGAGTATCATGTCTAGATAGAGAGAGATGGAGAGAGAGAAAGAGAGAGAGAGAGAGAGAGAGATGACATACTAGCTATATCATACTAATTACGTATATTAAAGAATGCCCAGCCCCAACAAGCTGGGTGAGACAACACGAATTGCCCAATGGCCCAATAGAATGGATTCTAGGATTCTAGGTTTAAATTGTTTCAAATACAGATATTCCTTTTATTTCCTGTAGTTCAATGGCAGGCGCTAGGGCAGCTAAGGCGTCTGATTGAGACCAACGACTGCTTACAACAAACATGGTCGGAGACATCAACATGACAGTCACATTGCGGGTGTTCCTGATGAGTTGTGCTGTCAGCTCTTGAGCATGTCGACCGTGAGCATTTCGATGGCTCCTTTCCGAGTCTTGGCAATGAGAGGTTGATGAGGACGTCAAGCTTTCGAAGATGAGTGTTCTGCAATGGTTTGCGCTCTTTGGTGTCTTTGTTGCGCGAATGATTGCAACATTGTGATCGTTGGTTGCGGGACGCATCCACAGTAGTTCGCAGAAATGGAAGCTGCACACAATGACCCAAGAAAACGTATTATAATATAGATTTATATAGTATTTCTTGCTTTCTGCAAGCTGACGACACTGATTGCGAACTCATTCATTGGCTTTGATGATCAATTATTCATCTCGCTGAATCCATTCCGCAAGGAATGTGTCTTCTGAAATTGCCGCCTGTCAAGCGCAAATAGAGTTAGGATTGATGGACTTTGAGCGTGACCATAGTAGTCTCCACTCTGCAATGGAGTGAGCCTCCCACCACACTGTTCGGGGCAGCTTCCACTGGAGCAAGTCTGTTTGGACGACGATGGAACAGCAGGCGCTTGTGTGGAATTCGCGGAGCAGAAGTTGGAATCACATTGGTCACCCTAACCCTGTGCATGTGGAAGACGGTCTGAACATGAATGTATTCTGAAGCAGTGGATGTTGCCACCTTTAATTCTTATGCCGGTCCAGGTCTGGCAGTCATTGAGTGAAGAGTTTGTATATAAGTGTTGTGGGTACAGTATGTAAGTAGAAAAGGCACACGACTGTTAGTGGAAATCCTCTACAATTTGCAAAAACATGGGTGCATGTGGGCCACGCAGCGAAAGTTGTCATAGATTGGGGTCTCTTGTTGTGCACAGTCTCCGTTGGTTCTCCAACAAGAGTGGATGGCTGGCTGGCTGGCTGGCTGGATGGATGGATGGATGGATGGATGTATCCCAGTCCCTCCTGATGCTCTCCCACTCGCTCCAGGCTACGAAAAAGAGCACCTTTTGGGCCGTGGTGCCTGTGCTGCTGGGGGGCCTAGGTGTTTTTCCTTTTTAGGTCTAACTTTTTGAGGTCTAACTTGAGGTCATTTCCTGTTTCAATACCCACCCGCATAGCTTCACGGTGAGTGATCCCCACATAGAAATGGATGGGAATGATGTCGAAGAGTGATTCCCGTTTGAATACCTGTTAGACAGGAACACCTGCTATATAGACAGGGATACCGGGATACCCCTCTACCAAAAATGGGTCTTTCCAGAAATTCGAGCTGGGTGCTTCTTGGATGTGCGTCCACACCTCTACACCCAGGCTCGAAAAGGGCACATCGCAAAGCGCACTCTTTGCTCCCAAGGTGGTTTGGCTGGCCACGCCCACGCATGATCGGCGGAGACCCGTGGCCATCAAACAGGCGCGTCACTCACGTTCAGCGCGTCACTCACGCGTTCGCTTCGCGGAGAAGCGCTTCTCCGGAGGGAAGCGAATTTGGACCTGGGATGAGGGGAGGGGGAACTCATGTACTGTAGACCGTTGATGAGAAGAAGTGTCAGAAAAAACCTCCCATATTGAAGATGTACAACCCGTCTTCTATACCAGTACCGTTGTTTCATACAAGTTATAAGTTATATAGAACCTTTCTTTTTGCATGAGTCAACCGTCGAAAAAGGTAGTCCCAGACTCGAAGGTTGGGAGGATGCAACCGATCCGACCGTCAGGTCATCGGGTCATCGGTCCTCCAGAAGTGGTCGATGGGCAAAGTCTGCCAGCTTGGGAGGTTCTCTAGTTCTAGTCTTATTTGTGGGTTCAAGCATGCTCAAGCTGATTCAAGCAGCTACTGTTGTTGTTGTCGTCGTCGTCGTCGTCGTCGGCGTCGTCGTCGTTGTGGTTGTGGCTGTGGTCGTGGTGGTGGTCGTGGTGGTCGTGGTTGTTGTTGTTGTTGTTGTTGCAAGAACAGAACAGAGCAAATCACTTGCTGCGACTGACAAACACGCCGCCTCTAAGGGAAATTCACCAACGGTGAACCAAACATTCAGTCAATTTCTGTTTGTTAGCACAGACCGAACGAGAGAGAAGAGTCGAAAACACAGGTAGCTATGCTGATCTTAAAGGTCCAATGTAATCGATTCCCATGGCTATGCTGGTGGCCAGCAGCATGCTTTGCAGAACACGTCGAGCAACTGATAGATGCTCCAGAGGACCTGTGTCGTCCCTTTCTGCTGATTAGTAGGCGTAAAGCTCAGACCACGCAAAACCGCATGGACTCCCTGTTTCGCTCATCGATCGCATGGCGTGAACGCGACCGCAAGCTGACAGCTGAAGCGATCGACCGTTGGTCTTCGACTCACCACGCTGCCCAAAGTGAAGAAACCTGGGACTCAAACAGGTGGGAAGCATCCGAAGCTGCAAGAAATGGGTGACGTAGGGCTGCATATCCTTTGGGTCGTTTAAAGTCCTTTTATTTTTAGATCTATACGTTCTTTCTTCTCCACCTGGACTCCAAGCGACGGACTTCGCCACCTGGAACTGGCTGCAGGTGGCTAAGGGGACCGCTGGGAAGAAGAAGTCCGATACCGAGGCCACGGTCCCGGCAGCGGCACGACTTCCCGTCCGTCCGACGTGGCGACGCGTGCGACGCGTGATTTGTGTGCGGGGCAGGGCGAATGGCAGGGCAGGGCCCGGGCGTGATGTCCCAGATTCTTGTGAAAAGAGATGAGTCAACCTGATGTGATTTTGAAATCCGTGTTCATCAAGTATTCTTGTTAAATACAAATTCAAGTACAAGTTAAGTTGCCGGATCGCAGCCAGGCCGCAGATGAACTCATCGATTTGAGCGGTTCTGAATGACAAGTCTGATCAAGAACCAAGAACGTCCCAGGTATATATGAGGTATACGCTCTGATTGACTAAGATGGAAGTGGACACCAGCCTAATTGTAAGGGCCAATCATCATGCGTTCGGGTCCAATGGTCCCAATGGTCAATCTGGATGAGTCGAAGGGTACCTGAAATCGAGAGTCTTGCTCTGCAATCCCCACCCGTACAGGGCAGGCCAGTGTTTCACTGGAGACGGGAAACACTGGATAGCGGCGAACACCCGATATCTGGGAACCCCCCATGCGACGGTTGCTCCAACCGACATCTAGCTGGTCTAGACACTTCGACATGTCTTTCTTCATATCTCTCTCTCTATAAATATGTACTGTAACTTAACCCCCCAACAAAGAAAAATAGATCTATCAGCATCCAACTGGGCACATCTTGAAAGCACTTGTAATTTGGAGCTGTCTTCAACGCTTGAGCGTCTGCAATGGAAAAAACGCATTCAGAGGATACTCCTTCTCATCTGGACCGTGAACAACGGAACGGTCGGTACCCGCCTCCGGCGACACGTACTGCAACAGATCCCAGGCGGCTCGAAAGGAGATCCTCTTCGGCTCCTACTTCTTTCACGTCGCTCGGGCCAATCTCCAGGAACTGGAGGTTTTGGGGATTTCAAGGTGGCAAGTGATTTGGTACCACGTTTATATTTAGTTACAAAAAACATGAAGGCGCTCTACTTTCTATGTGGAGCTTCCAAACTGGGGTTCCTCCTGTTCTGGGCCTTCTGGCGGCAACTTGTTCAACCCCATTCCCCCTGCTGGTTCGGACATGCACCGCCAGCAGCCGGCAGTCAGTGTGTGTTGGTGGAACTTCCAGGTCCCTGAGCACATTGGTTTCGTACCTGGGAAGCTGTTGAGCTCATCTCCGGAAGCAGGTGATTCGCTTGAAGGAACTGACTGCGAAACGGGATTGCTTGGCCGAATTCGATGTGGATTCACTATGAATGACACCATGAGCCAGTGAGAACTTGAAACCGAAAAGCCCTGGGGGCTACAGACTGGCCTGTGAACGGGGGCAGTCTGTGTGAAAAAGACCCGAAGTGCCTCCCTCGTAGACCGTGGGCGCTACTAAGACTCCTACGGACCTTTTTTGGCGGAAGAACATGACAAAAGCATGCCATCAAAGCATGGCCGACCTTTCGCAAATTGGTTTTTGTTGGAGGGGAGACCGGGGAGACCTTAACTTTTCTCTCTGCCGGGGGAGCTTTTGAAAGCGTTGCAACCCCGAATATAAACATCTTAGTTTTTGGAGGAGAGTAGGGAGTAGCAATATAGAACAAGAAACAAGGCTCACTTTGACCAGGGAATATATTCTATTTAGACTGGTAAAGTGGTGCTCAGTTCTTTTCTGTGTGTTTTTGAACCTCAAGGACAGGGAGTGTGTGAATGCTGGCCCGACACACTTGAAACATCCAGCCCGGGACTCTTGCTTTCAAACATGTCGTCGTTTTCTGAGGGTGTGGGTTTTACTGCGGTTCATGCCAAAACCATGGAAAACTCGCCTCCTCCTACGACCTCCCTTCACCAGGTTGGGAGTTTTGGCATGTTCTGCCTTTGTAAATCTTCCTGGTTTGCGGAAATCTCCGTCACCAAACGCACCCGGCATCTGGCCTCCCGCCAGACGGGTGGTGAGCCCAAAGTTTCGCCCAAGAAGTGCCCAGGCGGGTCCGGCCACCGGATGGGGGGGACCCTCCTGGCTGGCAGTCAAAACCTCCCACCAAACATTGGAAGGTTGACATCCCTTACACAAGGTATTTGTTCATTTTCACTGGTCGACCAGGGTGCCCGGGTTTTGACCCACAGCCAGGCGAGCCAGCAATCGAACTCAGCGGTCTCCCTGTAGATTCGACATTCTAGAGACTGTTCCATCTTCGAAGTGGTTCCTTCTTCCACAAGAGGTGGTATGTTTGCTGTCTCCAAGAACAAGTGATTGTCATGTCGATCAATTTATTTCATTGGGCCTCAATCTGGCGCTCTTACAGATGTGACATATTTTTGCATAAACTTGTCCCTTTCGCCCGGTGTGTCCTTCTGAAAAAAGAGAACCACCCACGCCGCCCATGATGTAAGTGCTTCTGTGACCCTCCGCCCTCCTGCACCGCTTCACAGGCATTGCGCATGTGGCCAAGCTGTTGGACTACGTCGAGACGAAGCGCGACATTTGGCTCGTCATGGACCGTGGCGGGCTGCGATGTGTCGCTTCCGAGACGACCGGATCGGAGACGTGGCCGGGGAGAGAGGTGGAGGGGGACCAAAAACGGAGTGGAAGTTTTCGCAGGCCGGAACTCGTGGGCTTGAAAATGCATTGATATTGGGGGCAAGGTTGTTTTCTTTTTTTTATATAGGACAGGTTCTCCGAAGCATTTTGCGTGAAGAGGGAATATGGTGTTTCTTGGGAATCAGTTTATATATGTATACAATCTTCTTTTCTTAAGCTGTTGTGGGCCTCTTAAGTCCAACCATGGATTTGACCATTCGTGCGTTGCACAGTGGTGTGGGGCCCGTCATCAGCACGATCCCTCGAAACACCACGACCGGGGGACATTAGAAGACCGTGAGAAAGGAGTATATCATGTATACTGTATATATATGGTATGTATGGTATATATATATATGAAACATGAAGATATTTGGGGTTGGTCAACCCGTGGAACCTTGGTCCGCCATGAAGCTTGACCTTCCTGGTAGGTCAACCAAGGTGGTTTTGAACCATAGCCATATCCCACCTTGACTACTTTAGGCTTGCTAGGCCGCTTTGAGACATCTTCCGCCATACCCATTTTGCTTTAAACTTTAAGAAGCCTCCCGTAGACCAATTTTGCTTTAAGAAGCCTCCCAAAGACCGATTTTGCTTTCAGACATCTTCTCCCAGACCAATTTTGTTTTAAGAAGCCGTAGACAGGTCTGAGCAAGGCCCGAAAGGTTGTGCCTCGCTTTATGCCACTGTTGGCGGAACCTTTTAAAATAGACACATGATTGAGTATAGTAAGTTCTGCCCCATTTCGAACCTTGGAGGCCAAGTCCTATCATTTGCAAACAACTTATTTCTTACTTTTATTGGTCTTGAATTGAAAGAAACATTATCCCGAAACATCATCCAATATTTTAAAAGTCTATCTCCTGCCCACTCAGAAATCCACACTATGTGCAGAAAACGCTTGAGAAACTGTGCAGGTTCCCGAACCTTAAGGTTTTGATGGTTTTTCAACGGTTAGGTCCGCAAAGGTAACCTCATGGTTTTCAGACTGAAACCCCCGTAGAGAAAAAGAACCTGGCCCTGTTTCATGCATGCAACGTCTCCTCAAGTCCAGTTTCATGCCATTTACTTATGTTTTCATTGTAGTTGTTTCTTTCTACGCATCTGCGTGTGCGTGCGTGCAGCTGGTTACTTCGCAGCTTTGCTGCACAGTCACCAAACCATCTATACACGATGTTGTGTTTCACATTTTTGTTTACTTTATGTTTACTCACCAAAATTGAGTCTAAGTATTTTCTTAGCACACTTACCGATCGTACTTAGCCCAGTATCAAACAGTTTTATCCGAAGCAAGAGTCTCAAGCATTTTACTCAACACCGGAATGAGAGTCTAGTTTCCTGTTTTACATAATCATATTCTTTTTCACAGGACTCCACGGTAGTTAGTTTCGAGCCACCGCACAATTATACTGTTGGACCCTTTAGATGCGTTTCCCTTGTAGCATTGAGCCACCAGGCCGTGCCTGTTTGTCCTCCCACAAAGGTATAGCAGGATTTCGTTCAACAGGCCCCACCCCGAAAGTGAGGATTCCTTGCGGTGATGGCAGCCGCATACCTTCCGTCGAAATCGGAACGGGACCGTGCGAGGAGTTTGGGGGGACCTCGCTGACCAAAATGGTGCGGCGCTCAGTGAGCCCGGCAACCGGGATGACGCACGGCAACGAGGTAACAGGGGAACCGGGATGACTTCTTTCGAAGGCACCCGACACCCTATCTTGCCCGGGGAGCCAGTCTTATGAAGCTTATGATTGAGAGAGAGGTGCTGGGCATCATGCAATAATTTCCTAATTACTTTGGAGACGCCGACCATGTGCAGTGTTTTGGGGGGTTCCAATCATGCATGATTTCTTCATGACGCTGTTACAATTGCTTCTAGGAGCAAGTGCATCGCTTCTAGTAACAAGTGCCTTACTAGTAGGAACAAGAAGCTACTAGGAACAAGTGCCTTGCTAGTAGTAACAATAAGAATGTAATATGACGGTGATGGCGCGAAAGGTGGGATTTCAGACACTCTGTTTTTTCCGCTCGGTGAGCGCACTGAAATCTTGAGGGTACAAAGCCCGACGTGGTAGACATCAGTAGACACATGTCGTTGTTCTGAAGGGTGACATGTGATCTTTCCAGTTCTGTGAATGTGTGCAAAGAAGAAGACCCTCCCCTGCTGGACCTTCCCATAAACCTGATCGCTCACCCAACAGTTCACACAGTCACACTTGCCTGACCAGACACCCCGGACTGGCGTGTCCACAGCCAGCTGACCCGTCACGCCGGAATCAAGTAATGACCTCCTCGATGCCGAGGCGTACGAGATCAAAGGGGAGTTTCACCGCGGAGAGCGGCTCTACCGGGTCCTTCACCTGCCACTCTTGGAGCAGATGAAGCGGGACGTCCGAGCGTTGAAGGCTGGGCCAGCTTGACCGCGGAGGGCGCGACAAGGTCATCCAAGGTCCATTAGGTCCACCGGTGCAGTGGTGCTAGAACTGGTGTCCTTTCTTTTTGGAGGTGTTAGCTCCCGGCCGCTAGGGCCGCTAGGGGCTTGCAGCATGTAACCATTCTAAAGTCCATGTTCTTTCCCAAATTCATTCCATATTTTTCCCCAAATGTACGCTTGACAGAGCCCGAGGGTTGCTGGCTTTGTCCAACGTTGCTTTTCTTCTTCTTTGGCCACACCACTATCAGCGGCAGGCCGTCTTGCGCCAGCTCCTGTCCGCGCTCTGCTTGTTCGCGGACCACCGGGTGGTGCACTCCGACATCAAGCCGGAGCGGACAACGACACCGGGCAGCTGCTTCGACCGGTCGGATGTGCGTTTGTGGAATGCGGTAGAAGATGGGCCGGTAGAGGCCAGCTTGAGAAATGCTAATGCTCGAGGGACTGTTTGATCTTCAACTTGAAGTTTGTATCTCTTACCAAGATCAACTTGGCCATAGCTGAAGGATTGGCGGTTTTTACTTGGCCGCCCGAGGTGTCCAACAGCAGTTTTCTGGACTTGATCGGGAGCTACACACCCAGCGAACTTTATACATAATATCAAACTCGTATACCTAATCAGCAAATAAAATCAAACAATAGTCTACAGCTTTATGGTGCTTCATAATTGTATATCTCTTTCCAAGAAGAAGCCGTGCTAAGCTGTTGCAACCACATGAGCTAATGGAGTGGGACTTTGGTATTGCGACTTTCTTTTCGTCGTGAAGATGTATCACTTGAAAGCCCGGCCTTTCTCGGGTCTCGGGCCAAGATGAGACGGGCCACAGTGTCCACGGCATCTGTCAGGATGAGCAGCATCCTCGGTCAGGACATCCACTCAACTCTGCAACAAATAGCAATGGCCCTGGATCAGCTTGGTTTGGGCCAACCCGGGAGCCTTTCCTGCAGTGGTCTCCCCAAAAGGCTTACATGCTCCGCAGGACAACATCCTGGTCGACCAAGACGAGACGGGCGGCATCCGGGCTTGGAGCACAGTGGTTCTTTGTTGTACGGGTCGTATTGCTAATCGCGGTGAATGCATTGCCAGGTGGGCTGCAAGGGGAGAAGATGGGTTCGGTTAAGTAAGCCACATTGGATTTCATCTCCGTATCGCCCAGCTGTTTGCTGGCGACATGTTTACAAGCAAGGAGTTTTGGATGGCTGACACACGGTTGAGTTGTTAATGGCCACAAATCCAATCAGTCTGCATTCTTTTGCTGTAACCTCCTTACCACCCCCCAAAAAGGCCTAACTTGAGTCAGATTCGTTTGTCTCAAAACGAGGTCTGCGACCTGCCCATCAGAGACTCACAAAGTGTCTACCATCTCACACTATCCCCCTCCCCTGCAAACCGTTCGATGAATCGCCTTCAGGTTCGATTCATCGACTTGGGCAGCGCCTTCTCGTTTGAGACCCCCGAGAGCTTGACGGTGGCCACGCCTGAGTACATGCCCCACGAGGCCAACAGATCCAAGGGATGGCGGCCGGGAATGGTGGCCGTCGGCCAAAAGAGCATCCGAGATGGATTCAGATGGGCATCGTGTGGAAGTGAAGGGACTCCCAAGCCACCCAGGAATGTGATGTAATGTAATGTAAAGTAAAGTAATGTTAATGTATAATGTAATGCGATGTAATGTGTGTTTTCATCTGCTTTTGCAACGATCATGCGGTTGTCACGTCTTTATCTACATCCGTCTCCCGCTTGCTCAGCTCATCGTGCCAGGGCTTGGAAGTTTGTGCGGGTCGCAATGGAGGCATGTGGTGGAGGGTCCAGCAGAGAAAGAGTGCAATGTTCTTGGTTTGAAAGGCATTTTAATATACCCGTGTGCATTTTCACTAGGAAGTGGGAGGCCTTGAGCCTATATATTTTTCTTGTAACCTAGTCTGGCATTTCTTTTGAAAGCCACACATGTGATTATCGCTTCAAAAAGATGCATTCCATAACTACCCATTTTCTTCAGAGGTTCTATGATACATGTTGAAGGCAGTGCGGCGGGTCATGAACTTCATCATGAACAGGAAAAAACATTGCGATACTTTGTGGGGGATACGATAAGACCACTCTGCTGAGACTATTGTGTTTGAGAGGTCAAGCTAATTCACTGGAGAATCGGTGGACCCAACCCCACCCAGATTTACTAGAAATCTTAGGGCCCCAACCTTCAAATAACATATTATTTTATTGATCCAATGAGCCCACTAGTAAATGGAACGCATGACCCTCAAGGTATATTTTTTGATTTTCTGAAGGAGGTTATGTCAGTCATTTTCTAGTGGCTGTTTTTTGATCTCCAATTTCATGTTTCCAAGCAATCCGTAGAATCTGTAGCGCACCATTTTCTAGCTGGATGTCCACGCATTCTCCAGTGCTCAATTCCATGTCCCGCCCTTTCTGCGCCAGAAAATGGGGGGCCCAACCCCAGCAGGTTCTCTGGACAGTGATATTTCAATGCTTTTTATATCTTCTATGCCCGTGGAGTTTGGGTGGGTGGGGCATGTTCTTTTGGTTTGTTCTTCAACTCTGGGTGATCCGGGCCGTACCGGGTACCAAACTGGCGTATCCAAAAGCGGGTGTCTTGCCGTTCTCTGCATGTTCAACCTGTACGGCAGCTGGTCTTCAAGCAAGAGCACCTGACGGACAGATGATTCAGCAGATCATACAACTGTCATACAACTGAAGGGCGCCAAAAAAGACTTCTTAGTGAACTGCCCTCGACTGGGAGTCTTCGATGGAACTTTTCCAAACCAAAGCGTGCGCCGGGTAAGCGAGCACGTTCAATAGAGAATGAGACAGATGGTTTCCTCATCAGGCGATCAATCAGATCCCTACATCAGAGGAACAACTGCTGTCAGATCCCTCCATTTTGCCCGTCAACAACTGGGTGTGTAGGAAATCGATCTCTCCCCTGAGAAAAGCTGCCAAGACAGGATCTGGTCACTTTGGTTGGTCTCCCAGAAAAAACCGTGTGGTTCACGTGGCCGCTTGGGTGAGGTGGGGGAGCTACAGGAAATCTCTCCACTTGGCCCACGCGCACGGGAGCCCGAAGGAATTCCGGGCAGGCGACGGGGCCGAGAAGAGCGACAAAAAGTTCTGTCTCATTGCCCAAATCATTCCGTACTCCAAAAGCCTTAGCCTTTTCTGGAACAATCATGGAAGTGGAAAATGACTCATGGAAAGACGATGTTTCCTCTACACAATACGCACGGGCTGGGTACCGCTCCGTTAACTTCCCTTGGCTGACGCCGGTGAGTAAGGGGAAATGACAATGTCAACATGATGCAACACGAAAGGTTTCACACAGTATCAAAGAGGTTTCAGTCACTCAATGACAAGTGGAACCTGCAAAACAAGCCAGATTCATTTGGATCAAGCCGAAATATATAAGTGAGAACCTGCCAATGCCAAATGAACTGCTACCAGACGCCCAAATGGGAGGCTTACAGAGCTTCAAGTCTGTACACCTCAGCGTCGCACGGTGACTGGGCCATATGCAGCGCAAGACCAAAGCGAAGTGGAAGGAGCATCACTATGACAAGATATCCAAATGACCTAGTCCTTAATCAGGCCGATGTCGATCGATATGTAAGCGCCTCTTGGCCACTAATCTTCAAACAGTTAGAGCGCAATTATCGGTAACAACCAATGTTGGGAACCTCCGTAGACCCGCTTGAAAAAGCGTTGAGTGAGTCGATTTCCATAAAATCCAAAAACTCGACAACGCAAAAAGGCACTCCAAGTGAAGATACCAGCCGGGCTTCAAGAACTCCCAAGCACACTCTGGTAAATCAGGCCTTTCCTCCAAGGAAAATGCTTCATTCATCTCTTGACAGGCTTCTGGCAACCTGGGAGATTCGACCACTAAAAAGAAAGTCGAACCCATTCCAAGGTTGATCTCTGCCTCTGCTATGATCATCCCATGTCTGGAGCATATCGACGTGGACAGTGTCATGGCTCAATCCGCACATCCATGCATGGATGTGACGCTCCCCGCGAAGGGCTTGAGGCGCAGTGCCTACCATACGCCTGAACAAAACAGCGGATTGTCCACTTCCATGATTGGAGAGGGGGTCACAGGGATTGAGCCTACCGTCCTGCTTGATCCACTGGAGCCTACGGGGGACCGTCAGTGGAGACTCGGAAGCTCAGGTGGCCGAAGCAGTCTGGCGGCCCGGCTCACAGGCGCATTGCCCTTCTTTTTCGAGACCTGCCCTTTTTCAGTTACCGGTGTGGATACATTGCCCAGGTGTTCAGGTCTTTCATGGTCTTTCAAAAGGCTTCACCACAAGTGCTGGCTGCCAGCCCTGGTTTGCAGTGGCCTGGTGGTGATGAAGGGATCAAACTGCACTTACAGAAGAGACTGAAGAGACTTTGTTGATAAACATGTATCATCCCACTGGTAGAATCGTGAAAAGACCTGTGCTCTACATGCCGGAGATGAACCATTTGGTCCCCAAAAGACGCAGTCCAACCAACTCCTCCAACCCCCAGTCCAACGCACCGACGCACTGGGCCCTCCGGCCGCCAGGCACCGGGCCGCCGTCCTCGACGAAGACGAGTTCCACGCCCAAAGCGGACGTGGATTCCTTGAACCAAAAGCTCCCCGGCGCGTGGGACCGGCGGCCAGAGCGGGCCACGGGTTTGCTAGGCCACGGAAAGGGGCTGGTAGACTCTTGGAGGGTCAAGCTCAGATGGATCAATTGGGGGGGGTTTCACTTATCAAGACGGGTTGTGGGATGTTGATTTGTTCAAGATTCTTGAGCGGATCTTGCCGGTCTGGTAGTAGGTGAGCTGGCGATGCTGGTGAGACTTGGCTCTACGCGCACCAGTCTTTGTCCAAGCGCACTTCCATGCTGTGGGTTGAGACTCAACAACAGAGCCTCCAAGCAAGCCACCAAACATAGTTATATATGTTGGTCCTCAACAATCCTTTCTTTTCATCTACTGTAGCCAAGACACTTTTGGTCTGCCAAGTACACAGGTTTGTGAGCCGGGACCATGCCCATATGGTATCTTGGGAGTGCCCCAATAGAGACTTTGCCCTCTAAAAGACATAAGACTCGTGACCAGGGTGAGTCACCATCTATCAGTGTGTTGGACTTCATTCCGAAGCCAACTGCAGAGGACTTCTATCCCTCAGATGCCCAACTAGGGCGAAACAAGAGGCCCAACTGGATCACCGTGGTGGTTGAAAATCTCTCAACGCTCACCTCCACGGCTGTGACCGAGGTCCCAGCCCTGGTCCTTCGACATGTCAGGGCACCCCGGTGGGTCATGGTGGAGACGATACCCGATGCGGTGTTGCTGGAATTTGGAGGCATCAAGCAGCGTAGAATAGTGCGTAGAATGTATAGCACCTTGACAAAAGCACTGTATAGACTATTTATATAGTATATTCACTATGTACTATCCTCTTCAATGGTCTTTCTCAAGACATGTATGCAGTGCATCAAAACCTCAGAGCCTCGTGGCTCTCTCCTCAGTGCTCTTCACGTGTTCAGCACCGTGTCCACCAGGTGGTCCTTGGGATCCATTGTGCTGGAGATGAGTCTCGGCACTCCGTTGTGGCTCTCCTACAAGCGCCCCAGCGGAAAGCGAGTGGTCGCTGGCGGCCGTTGTGGAACGTTTGCAAGAGAGACGCGCATGGTGAGGTGGAAAGATCTGAATTCAGCTAGAGGTGGGGTCCATCTGCATTGGTGGCTGGCAGGTGAGTCAAGAGTGAAGTAGCAGGTGCTGCCAACGCTCTCGTCACGAGTCAGTGGGTTTGTACGCGGCGAAAAACAGCCTCATGCTCTATCCAAGCTGTTCAAGATTGACAGTGAACAATATTATATACGACCTCAAATCCCAAATACAATTTTGGGCAACACCCCATAAACCACCGCTTGGGAAGGCCGAGCCAAGAGTTGTGAGGGTATGAGCCACGTGATACGATTTCTAGTCGGTTTGAACGATTTCTCTTTTTGGCATTTGGTCTACTGAGTCTACTGGCTGCTGTGAGTCTCTCAATGGCTGGAGGCCGCAGTGATTCAAGCACCAAAAGCGAGCCGAAGCCAGCTGGCTGCAGGTGAACCCTTGGCTTGGTGTCCTTCAACAGGAATATGGGACCTTCCAGGTTCATCCTCCAAGTCCGAAACCCACTGACCCGGTGAACTGCAAGAAGAACTTACTATAATTTAATTACATTTAATAACTAATTCTTCCTACCGTAGATGGACGAAATATTCAAACCCTTCAAAACCGCTTGGACCCCTTCCACCCCAAAACTCAAAGTTAGTGAGCGTGCCAGAGTCTTTCGGCAAATGGACGAAACAAATCAAACCCTGGCAACACGAATTCAATGAAGTCGTGTTCAACATTGACCTTTGGGGGTCGGGGGTTGGTGACAGTCATCGATTGAGGGGTTTGAATATTTGGTCCATCTACCGTAGTACTTCCTGATACTGATTTTACAGTTCGACATCTAAAGTATTCTAAAATACGAGATTCCAGGTTATATTTCTGTTCTTCCTGTGGGAATGTTATATCATGTTTCGACACGTCGGACGTTCGCCCACGTCGGCGACGATCTCCCCACGTCGCCCGAGTCCCGACGATCTCCCCGACGGTCAGGTGCAGAGTTGCTTCGGACCAGCGCACCCCTGCCGGCTTGAATGCTCAGCGCACGCCGGGGGGGTGGGTCGACCCTTGCGACCTAACGGCAAAAAGGCTGGTTTCGAGGAGTGTTTTGTATATAATATGTTTGAGTCGGTGTTTGTTTCGATGGAGTTGTAGTTATTGTAGTTCGCCGTGGAATTCAGGTACCAAGCACTTGGCAAAGCATAAGGCCATAGATGCTATAGTATAGACACTACAGATCCTATTGGGACAAGTGGTTCTGGGTCTCTTTTTTTGGGGGACAGGGTGCTTGCGGGTGCTTGTGTTCCTCTTAGGTTCATGTCGCCTGAACCGCGTTGAAGCGCTCAGGCTTTGGCCTCTTCGCGGTGCCAGGGCGAGACCCCGAGAAGATCTTGCTGCGTCAGGCGGGATGGACATCGGGTGGGACATGGACATCGGGAGAGTCCCCCAAAAATACCCGTGGAATCCGAGTATTTCTTCCTGTAGGATTATAATATATAAACATCTAGGTGTCCCCTTACATGTCACTTGGACCTGGACCAAAATCTTGAAGCAGGGACATGGGTCAGATTCGCAACATGTGGATTGAACATGATAGAGATGGGAACGACCATCAGAAGAGCTCCCCAAAAGAGGCGACACATCGACCCATCTCCACGGCGCTGAGGAACTGTAAAAGCCAAACATCCATTTGTTCTGGCCGGGGTATCCCCATTCTGATACCCACATGTGAGATTGGAATGATGAGGAATCAGTTCATAGAATTTCTCATAATGTCGGGTCTTTCAATCACGATCAGAGTCATTATTCGATTCCAAAACACTTCATTACTGATCTCGACAAAGTCTTCAAAGGTATTCTATTCTCTTGCTTTAGGTGTTGAATGCTGGGGACTCTTCTTAGCACAGAGTGTTGGTTTGCCGCAGCAGCCCGGACATTGTCCTCGTCCTGAGAAAAGAGACTATGTGTTTTCTTACCTCCAGGTCCAGGGCTTTTGAAAGCCAAGACCCTGGATTCAACCTAGACGTCGCTAAATCGATCTAAATCGTATACTGTACATCAATGGACCACAAAGTTCATTTCCAGGGTGACAAGTACCTCAAGCGCACCATGCTTTCAGACGGCCCCATCCCATCCCCCCCATGGCACAAGACAACGTAGACCAAACCCGATTGGTCAAGACTTCAAGACTCTTCCCTTTTTGAGGCACCCACACACACCCCCCAAAGCCAAACAGACCCAACTTCCCTCTGGCATTCCCCGAAAACGTGGAAACCGTCCAAGGCGGATGCCGTCTGCCACAAGGGCTTGGCGCAAGTGCTGCGGAACGCGGCGGGTGTCCCTCTCGATGGGGGCCGGGAGACCTGGGAGAGTTTCCGGCGAAGAACCTGAGACTAAAGGGGTGATGCTAGAAGAACTTGCATAGAGCTTCAGATGCGTTTGACATTGAATTTGGTCTTTCAACAACAAACACACATGAACACAGTATCAAGTAGCGGCCTTTTGGAGCTTCTCGTTGTTTTAATAGAGCATTCAGGTGGTGGTTGTCCTGCATTTCGCTGACCATAGAAGTGGAGTGCTGGCTGATCATCATTTTGCACTGCTGCTTCGGAACTGAACCCCTTTGCGAGAACCTATAATACGTACTATATATGTAATTTCCATCCTGAGAGCCAGTTGAGAGCAAGAATTCCACATCAACATCATCAACTCATTTGGACACCCTCCTTGCTGACAAGATTTGATGGTCGTCTTCAGGTCCTGAACCCCCATTCGCCCACACATTCGCCACCAGTTGACACCTCCCCCCAAACCTCGGACCTCCCTCGGTCGAACCCCGAGGGCACCGGGCACTGGGCTCTTCCCGTCTCGGGGCACGAGCACGAAGCCGAGGTGGCACGAAGTCCGGCCTTGACTTGCTTGAGCAGATGATGGCCTGGGTTCGGCCTCCAAGGGCCGACGGTGGTCGTGTCTCCACGGGACCCACCGGAGGGACGGAGCCATCGAGTTGGAGGAAGCCGGAGGAACTCGGATTTTGGTTCTTAGGACTGTTTAGGCGAGTTTGACTGAAGACCAGTGATGTGAGATGCGGAAGTTTCGGGTGTTGGATGGTTTTGGAGTCGCCTCTCAACAGTCGTATGGGAGTAGTTGCTTCGATGATTGATGTTTGATATGCGAGTGGAAGCTGCCGATCAGCCATGCGGCCATGCTGATCAGCTCCAGCTGCTGTCCCTTCCATCGCCATGTTTTCGCATCGCTGAACACCACTGGGCCCGTGTGATTGGCGTCCGGTCGTGGGGTCGTGCACTGAACGCATTGCCTTGGCACCGAGGATCCCATGGCACGGATCAGCCCCTACGATGCTCTAGCGCATCCCTGGCTCACAGAGGAACGGCCGGGAAGCTCCCTCCAGAGGAGGGAAGGTTCTTCGGGATGGATCTCAAACGTGGTTTTTAACGATGTTTTGCTTTAAGGGTGATGTTTAAAATTGTTTAAATATGTTTCCTGTAAGGTTTTATTTTTGCATGGTGCCTCAAGCAAATCCAAATCTCAAAGAGACTTCAGGGGAACCCTCTCAGGCATACTTACCTGCAAGACTTTCTTGTTTCAGCCCGAGCAGGGAACACTTCATTTTCGGCCCCAAATGGGATTAAACACAGTTCAGCACGCGGGCATCAAGAGATCGGCGCGGCATTAAGAGCCTTGCAGAGTCCATGCGATTTGGATGAGGATTCCCATGCATATTTGTTCTATGCGAACAGACTTTGTAGCATATTTGTTTTTTGTTTGAGACGATGGCTTTCTGAATTGCTGATTTGTCTTTCGTCTGGATCTCTCTGGTAAGTTCAATCTCTTTTTTCTGGCGCATGAGGCCTGTCCCTCTTCTCACACCTGTCTGTGTGGCTGCCCAAAAAGGCTAAGCAACGTAGGTATCTAAGGAGGCGTCCTGAAGCGGTCAAGGGCACAACAAGACCAACCATGTCGTCATGGTTTCATGGTGCAGGAGTAGGGTAGTGTTGTTTTTTGCATCGATCGGTTTGAAACACAAGGACCGTGCAAGAGTAAGTCAAGTCAAGACATTGATCCAAACACTGGTTACATATCACGTGCAGCAAGCTCAGTCTGAAGGTCGAATGGCACTGTCAACCTGATGCGCATGATCCAAACAACTGCAATGAGGCCGCCTTGCATAGCAAACCAGCAATGCGAGGAACAGATCACCAGCAACAACCTCACAATGATCTATGCGTCGCCACCTCATTGCCCGGCTCAACCAGCAACTGACGGTGGATTCTGCCACCCGCTGCATCCATGTTCAAATTTTGTGGCAATCAAATCAGTGATTCATAGACAAAACACACAAGATTGGCAGAATGCCTGATCACTGCTCAGACACACATCCCTACTGTGGCCTCTAAACATCTTGCATTTGTGAAATCATGTCACAAGATGTCATATTTTCACGTGGGTCCCACTGAAAGAACGGCCTTCACACATTTGTTGCTCTTCCACATCAACACTTGCAATAAACACCACAAGCACCTGCACACGGCGCACACTTTGTAGACTTCGTTGAAGGGGACACATTGTTGTGAGTGTTGCTTGTAGGAGAGCTAAAGAATCTATTCTTTGGTCTCCTTCGAAAGCCCTTCGAAGGTCCTAGAGTCCTAGAGTAGCTCGTGAAATGATGATCCCTCAATTGAATTCCTTTTCTTTTGGCTCAAAGCAGACTGGGGGCACTGGAATCAGAAAGCATCAATTCCAGAAGTTCCCCCCAAAGAAAGGGGGTGTTTGTTTCTTAATTGTCCACCTGCTTGTTATTGTACCCGCGTTAATACAATTGCATCGACCGGAAGTTCTTTTCGCACGGCATGACGTGTGTGTTCTACGTTCGAATTGTCATTGGGAAGTCGTCAAGCGACAAAAAAGAATCGAGATTTCATCATTTCATCTAGCATACATAAATGAGTACTCCAGTGCCGCAGATGCCACCAGTCACATGTCGGGGTGGTGTTTAGTCCCCATCCAGCAAATCATGGGCTTCGTTCGTTCGGCACCCCGAGCTCGGTGGGCGCCGTCCAGCCCTTCCGACCGACCTTCGCGCCAGGATTGATGTCGCAAGCCACCTGCGTGGCACCGAATTGGATGCGACGCGATGAACGGCAACCTGTGGCAACCATTGTGGTAGTATTGTTTTCATTTTTTCGACCGTGATCGTTTGGACGAGGCATAGGTCTATATTGGCAGTTCCACATATGTTCTTTTAATCTTGGAATGTTCTTTCTCGCAAGACTTGCTGAGTCTGTGACACCTGTTGCCGTGGGATCCAATTCGCAATGAATCTCGTTGCTCAAATGGTGCCGCCTCTTCCTCCGAGCGGAATCTCGCCGACGGCCCAAAGTCGTGTCCTAGTAGTAGGTACGACGGTAGAACAACCTGTGGCAAAACAGCACAAGACATAAGACCTTGCTTCAGTTTTTGTGTTGCGTATTAGAGTTGTGTCTTTCCCTCCCCCACCCTAGCAGGACCCTGGGCTGTGTGAGAACCACTATACTAGAGATCGAGTTATGGAGTGTTGACTCAAGTGCAAGGGCACGGATTCGCCAGTTTCGCGGGTGGTGGCTGGGCTGGTTTGCGAGCTGGTCGGACCTGAATTTCGAGAAGTGGGCTTTTGTTGGATGCTTCTTGACCCGGAAACACTAGCACATCTAATCTATGCACATCTTGGAATTGGTTGGAAGTGTATATGCATATCATCGAGGCCAATCAGACAAAGTTCTGTTGTTGCTGTAGTGAAGGCTTGTTTGAATTACTCTAACAACATTCTATGCAGGTACAAATATCCAAACAACTAACAACTGTCACAATCATTATCATTTCAGCTCTTTTGTTGCTTTGTCGCTGCCATCGGAAGAGATTCTGCGCGGAAGACAGGGGGCCTGAAGCAATTGGCCGTTCCCCAAAGGGAGAGAAGGGTTCAATCAGGATCAGATCCAGCGTCCAAGCGGTAATGATGCGACCAAGGCGGTATTTTCGATTCAAACCTCTATTATCTATGATTATATAGATTCTATTTAATTATGGGTTTTCGGAATAGACACCCCCTCAAACCATTGAAGCCATTCAAGATCGCCTGTGGAACATCAAACATATCCTTGGGCCAATGGATCTCAGTCTTTTCGAGATCAACCCTTGGTTGGAAATTCCGAACACGGGCCCACCAAAAAGTTGCAGTTTGAGACCTTGTTGCTCATCCAGCATCAACTTCTTCATGAGCTCGACGACGGAAGCCGCATCACTGGAGGTGCAGTTTTGGCCTAGCTAAAACTCAGAGACTGAAGAGAGGATGAGCACTGTATATGCATGGTATTTGTGCTGAATGGGGTGGAATTTAGACGCGAGCTGCTCGCTCCAAACATTCTTTTGATCTATATATTGCTTGCTTCCCACAATACCTTTTGACGTTCCAGAGAGTCTTCGTAATGCCAACGATTTAATTCCTTTTACTACTTTCAAGAGGAGTCCTTCAGTGGACTTGCTCTCAAAAAGGATGCTGATTCTGACCAATTCAGGCAAGTGTTTTTTGGAGGCGCAGGGACGTCTGAAAGATGGACACTTGTGCACCGGGATCATAGCTTCCCTCTCTCGGCTGGCATCTGGACATGACGTCCAGCTCCCACTCCCCCAGAGCAACATGGACCTGCAAGAATCACTTGTTTGCATTGGTTTGCAAAATCTAGTTCCACATAGTTCCACTTGTTCCAGTTCCACGTTGTATTCTTACACGGACCTTTGGATCATCTTAACTTCAAGTCCTGGCCAAAGGATGGTTCAAACTCAAACTCCATGCAGCCAATCTGTATCCAAAGATAAGATTTGTGCCCAACTGGTTGGTATCCAGATACTGAGCTTGGCAGCTGAGTTTGGACAAGAACACACTACTCCCACAATTGGTGATCCGAAGAGTCCAGACCCTGAGAGATGTGAAGAGGTGCGGATCCGAAGCATGGAGAGTTCGATCTGAAGCAGCCTACACTGAGCTTGGAGCGAAACCATCAGACTCTGATGTCAGGATGCAGAAAGAAGATCACACCTGACCAAGAATTTTGTTTTCTTTCCATATGTTGTGGAGCATGAGACCTGCGCCCCTCCAACTCCAAGAAGCAGAAGCAGATTTTGCTGCGTTCCCAAGGAGACAACCCCAGAATCTGGAATTTTTGGGGGTCGGTTCTTTGCCCCATTTCGGAGTCATCCGTCTTTCCCATGGCTGGGATGACCTGGGTGCTTGGGCTTCAAAGGCGTGGTCGAACTCCTTCGTACATGAACTGGGTTGTTATTGGTCGTGCCCATCTAGTGCATCTAGGATCATCTAGGATCATCTAGGTATGCTATTTTCAAAAAGATCATCGATCTCTATAGAGATTGACGTTGACTCTTGACTGGCCAACTCTCCCATCAGCTGCATGACAACTCTCCAATCCCATCCGCCGGGCCGTGGGTTTCGCGGACCGTTCCCACAGAAAAAAGAGCCACATCGGTGTGGAGTTGGCCACAAATGCACAACTTGAGCCGCCGGGTGGGGGCAACACTGGGGGGAGGACAAGGCTGGATGATGAGGGATGGTTGTTGTTTGGGGCTTTGACCGAAGATTTTAGCGAACGGACTAGGTGCATAACGTCCGCATGAGGATCAGGGCATGCATCCGTCCGCTTCGGTCCTCCTTCGTGGCTCCAAGTAGGTCAGTGAAGTGAACATGGAGCAGTGTGACTGCAGAAGTCTTCTTAGGATACAGGATATGTTTGCCTTTTAATCACATCACCAAGAAGACACATGAAGGCACTAAACATTGACATAACATAAACATATGAACATATTGGCAATACAATCGCGCTTGTTTGGCACATTGTCATCAGAATCACTGTCATGCTCTTGAAGAGAACACACGCAGACACCGATCTCACAGCTTTGTTTAGCGCAATGAAGCGCCCTTAGAGCTTTTGAGCCAAGTAAACACAAGTTTGACTACCAAGCCAGCCTCAGTCACTCAAAGTGCCCAGTTTGCCACAGCAGAGCCAAATGGGAGGTTCTACTAAACCAACAAGCAGAGGTGTGTAACTTGTGCCTCCGCCGTAGCTTTGATGAAGATTTGGATCACTGCCTGATGCTGCTACTTGCAGAATAACATGCAACCCACACATGTTAAGTATATAACAGGAACAAACAGGAACACATACACGCACAAACCCACGATGCCAGCCACCAGTATTCCACAGTACCTGCACATTTCGCTAGAATTTGTTGAAGCAAAGCTGAGACTAGTAGGAATTGCAGCCGCCACACTACGCGTTTCACACTTGGGAACGCCTGTAGTTTGCCAGTGAAGCTATGGCCACACGAAGCCAAACACAAAAGCCGTCTTTGGCAAAGCTCCTCAAGCGCGGTGGGGGTTGGACACTGTGCTCTGTGTGTGCACGGTTTTAGTCCATGTTTCCCATCGCCATGGAGACGAAGACTGGATGGAGTGACATCAATTGGACCCTCAACTCTGGTTTTCCCAAAAGTCTTCTCCGCTCGGGGTGCTCCGTCGACCCCACTGGTCAGAGTGCCGCAGCTGCCGACCCAAGCGACACGTCCGAACCTCCGAACCGCTCGGCCGAACCGCAAGCAAGCGATGGGACATGGGACTCGACCAGTCCGTGCTTCGGTAACGAAGGTAACGACCAGGTCGTTACTTTCCTTGGTCCCCCTTTTTTTTGGCATTGTGTCTACAAACTCAACAATCCTTCTAAGACACCCTCAAGAGGAGCATCAGCTGGAATGGACGAGTTTAAACCAGTTTTTCGTCTCCATTCCCGCAGTGGGGAATCCACCGTCCAAAAAAGATATCAAAAGGATAAGAGGGTCCAGTAGTTACACCCTCCGAGCTTCTTGGAAGTTATCGTAGCTGGCATGGTGGGCCTAGCCAATACTGGCCAACTTGTATATTCCCACTCAACTACTTACTACTTCTGGGATGGCCAACTTGTACCTACTCTCAATCCACGGTTCTTCACACTTCTTAGCCACATTCTAATGGCATGACCCAGTGGCAACTGGGTCATGGTGCTGTATGTGCAGGCACGGCATTGATCCGAATGCTTTGTCCTTCGAGGAGCGGTGCGGTGTTTTGGTGTGCCGACTGTGCAGAGCCTCGCATGTGACCCCAACCGGCATCCGACCCGACCACGAGAGGATAGCATCCAGACCTGAGAAGCCAACTGGAAAGCTCGACTTGTACCGTTTTTTTCGGCAAAAAGAAGCCGAGTTGAACAAATCTGACTGACATGTTTTGATGTTATTCTGCCCAAATCAGCCATACCTCTGGTGATAAGGAACAGTAGACTGGATGGAAACTTTGACTTGGTTTTGAGACCCCCTCGCCTCAAGACTCTTGGCATCTCCTGTCTCAATTTTTAGGGTTGTGTGCATCGTGCTCGGCCAGCGATCAACATAGCCTTTGAATGCCTTGAGCCAAGAGGCGGGTTTGCCTGCTAGTGGAATGTGGAAAAGATGGGCAGCGGAGATCAGTCAAATGTCTTCGGTCCAAAAACCAAGGTCGGAACGAGCGAGACAAGGTCAGCATCGACCGTTCCAAGATGTTCCAAGAATTGATTCCATCGACGTTTCTGTTCGATTGGATGATATTGATTTGCGTGTCTGCAAACAGCTCTTCCCGGACTATGACGAACCTCCTTAGGCTCACAGAGAGGGAGGCAGAGCTTGGAGTATTGGAGTAATGGAGGGAGGCAGACCTCCGGACGGACCCATGCAGTGATTTCGCCCAGAAAGAACTGGATAGCCGCACCCGTGTGGATGTGGATACGGAACATTTGAGCTGTGCATCATCTCCGTTGTGAATGGCTGCAGTCGGCCTTTCTTCATGAAGCAAACTCGTTTCGGTCTTTCTTCCTTGTTTCTTCCCTGGCGCTCCCCGCCCTCTACTCAAAAAGACGGGTGAGTGTTGAATGGGGGGACCCTAAAATCAGATCTTAAACTCTGGAAAGTCTTTAGCTTCCAGTGCCATCCTTGAAAAGTGCCATCCTTGAAAAACCTCCTTATTATCATTAATTATACACAAAATTGTAAACATATCATACATCCTTATTTCTATACATATCCCCTTTCAGTTTGTATATGTCCTTCAAGAAACCTAGTCTGCTTCCCAAAGGAGCTAATGCCAGAAAAGGAAACCGACTTGAGAGATCTACCAAGGAACCTCCCCAAAATACCTCTGGAGAAATGAAAGCGGTAAATGAACCTTTATTCTGACTGCATTTAGATGGATCTAGGGGGTTTGCAATGAAGTTATTCTTAAATGTGGGTGCGTGCTCTTGATTCTAGGGTGGCAACTCTGCGTTTGCGGAGATACAATCCCGAGGTCGTGATGGGCCGAGCCAAAGGCATAACAGTTTGATTGCCGGCGTCCGCGACATGCTGAGTAGAACCAACATCACCGGCACAAGTGAGGTGATAGACGAACGTACCGGATCGTTTCCCGCGCCAAGCGATCCGCGTGGAGGGGCGAGATGTGGAACACCATGCGCGTAGTCTTTTGACTAAGCTAGGCTATACTAGCCCAGTGGCAACCGAGAATGTGTGTCGTTTGTCAAGTAAGAAACATGTAAGAAACATGAAGCCACAAGCCACTATCAAACAAGGGTGTCACACTCATTGGTGCCAGTGGGTCCATTGTTCAGGCAAGAAGACACTTGGTGTTGTGGTCTCGAGCCATGGTGGAGAGGGACCGGGATTGGAGATGGAGAGCACCAATCGACTGGTCAAAAGTGAGAGGTCAAGACATGGAAAGACCAGTTTTTCCCCCAACTAGAAATAGATGGAGCCGCACATCCAAGTACCTCATCGTTCCTGCAAAACTGGAGAACCCCCCAAACTCAGCATTTGCCGCAGGATGTTGGGGAGCGTCGCACTTTGTTGTGCCTGGCCATTGAAGAGGCACACCGATACGTCGGCGCCGGTTGGATGCGTCGGGTGTCGAGTGTCGCCGAGGGACACTCGACACCAAACCCCTGGGATTTTCGTCGCTAACGGATTTACGTCGCTGGGTTTGGACGTTCTGATGACACCACGTTTGTTTGGAGGTCCTAGCTGACCCAGAGGCGCATCCACATGCATAGATGTGAGCGGTATGTGATGTGTAGGTGTGCCATGGGTACCTCTGAGATGTGCAAACGTGAGATGTGTGGGTGAACGAAGGGAAACGAGTATTATCGTTTAAACCAGTACGTTTGATAACCCAATGAAACGTCAGGAACCCCAAACAAATTAAGTGCACCTGTCCTTTTCTTGAGTCAACATTTTGGAGCCAAATCATGAGTGCGAGCGCGAACTATCCTGCGTCCATGTGTAGTAGCTTAAGTAGCTAGTAGCTTACTCCCCCCAAAAAGAAAAGAAAACAATATGCCTGTTTAGGGATGGTACCTCCATGGTGCCTGATCTTGGATCCGCAAGGCCATGAAGCTCGACCAAGACCTCTCCAAGGCCAACCTACTTTCGATTGGACGGGGACCAAAAAATGGCCTGGTCAGTGGCCTGGTCAGTGGCGTGGCTGTACTGGTCACTCATTCCAGTCTCAGTGAAAGTCTTTGTGTTTCGAACTGTGGATGATGTGCAGGATGGGGTCCGAGATTCAAAGGCTTGTGAATGCCACAGGGACCGGCGTTTTGGGGGTACAAGATGGCTTAGCGTGGTCGCGTGGAAGAATTCTCAGATCGTTGAGATCACTCCTTAGTAGAGCCACCTAAGCAGAGTGTGAATATTGGAATTGTGGTGGAGTAGACAGAAGGAGCCTTTACTTGGCCAAAATCGTAGTGGATAGGTTTGGGGCTTGGATCCTGATTAGTGCAAGTATCCTCTATATTCTATGGCCTATAACGCATTATATTGTTTCCATGTTTTAAGGTTCCTCTACTATGTTTTTTTGATCACATTTTTTGTTATCTGAAAAATAATTAGGGTTTCGGAGACCTGTGAATACAACTAAGCCAATGACTGGCTTGCTGAGAATATTGATAGTTATAGGTTTCTCTAGTTCTTCCGTAAAGATTGCTCCGTCTCAAGGTATAAAGTAGACCAGGAAGGCCGCTGGTCCTCAATAATCAATTTGTTTTAAGGGTCCTCAATTGTGCAATTCTTTTTCCTCAGCAAAAAAACATCAAACATAAAACACACAATCTTAATACGACTAAGCCAATGGCTTGTTTGCTGAGAGTATTGATATGCAACGATAAGATAAGTATACAGTAGGTTTATCTAGTTCTTCTTCAAAGCCGCAGAGAACCTTCTTTGTACTCTTCTTAGTAGTATAAAAGGATTGCTGATAATATTTACAAAGAACCTGAGAAAGCATGAATAACTATAGTCTATGAATTGAAAAGAGATAAATTAACGCTACAATCAATTACAAAAGGAATCCTCCCAGGAACCCAGATTTGTTTTGGTGGTAGTTTATTATAGAGGACCTTCCTAATCAGCATCCTACATTACAAGTGACGTGTTGCCCAGATATCTTGTGTCTACGAGTTCACCGCTGCAAAGAAACAGAGTCGGAATGATTGGGGTTACAGCTTTCGTTCAAACAGACTAAGCGTGCCGGATTTGATGTCGATGCACTTAGATCCTTGCTCGCAAGAGGTAAATCAGTTTGGAAACTCCAGTGTTATTGCAAGTAGACCTTCACATGCAATTAGACCTTGGCTGAGGGAACGGAAAGGCGAAGGAAGGTCCGCGACAACAGTATGATTTGAACAAAGACTCATTAGTGCTCTACAGGAAAAGTGGGGTGAACAGCTTGGACAACAGTTGAAACAAAGCTCAATCTTAAAATTGGTGCAGGTACGTTCAGAGAGCGTCCTCTCTGAATATCACACGTATCACATCCGATCAGCTGTGTCTTTGCTAGGCAGTGTCTGATGGAAGGATCACTGCCCCACTGCGGTACTGTACTGTACAGGGTTAAAAAGCAAGATCTCGTTTACAAGACTGTTGTCGTTCTCCTTGGGAACAGGAGGTGACACACACTTCGAACTTGGGTTTTCAGTTACACTCAATTCCCAGGTAAAATGGCGATGGAACGGCAGGGTGGCAGAGTCCGTGAAAAGGTATTGTTTCAACAATGTTTGCAAGCGCACTTGAAGG